ATTACCGACCGGGGGTCCCCCATTGATTTTGTTAATCACTCTCACTCAGATTTTATAGTAAACTCCACTCTATGGCAAAATATGTAGATTTGTAGGAAATTAGCTGTAAAACTGCTAATTTTCCTCCCTGCCCCATGGCAAAATGTGTAGAATTGCAGCAAACATGCTTTAATAGGGCAACATTTTCTCTATGCCCCATGGCAAATTGTGTAGCATTGCTCAATATTAATTATTCCCTGATGTAGACTGTGAAACTGAGATTATGATATTCTGTAGGTCTCAGAGACAGAATTCTATAGACAGTAGACAAAGACAATAGAAATCTAGTTTACAAAACAAACCCCTGTAGCTCAGTTGGTAGAGCATGGCGCTTGCAACGCCAGGGTTGTGGGTTCGTTTCCCACGGGGGGCCAGTATGAAAATGTATGCACTCACTAACTGTAAGTCGCTCTGGATAAGGGCGTCTGCTAAAATGTACTCAAGTTCATATGAACCAAGCTGCTCCCCAGAAGTCCAAAGTAAACAAGCCCCTGCACCAAACTTTTACAAAAAAAGGAAGACAGAGCAGCAAAAGAGAATCGATAGTTCAGCCGAGGAGTCGGTAGCATGAATCAGTAATGAGTTCAGGACCCCTCTGTATGAGGACTGGGCTAATGATGCCTTTATTGGGGGTGTGCTTGAGGCATATGGTGCTCAAGGCATATGAGTGTTATAGCCTGGAGGCTTGCACAGGGAAGCCTTGTGTGAGCGAGGTACTCTGTGGCGCCAAGAACATCCAGCCTTCTTTTTACCCTTCACACAACCCCCTGCCAGCCCTCATCCAGGAGCCTGGCTCAGGTGTGTCAGGGCTGGAATGAAAGACCCAGTAATCCTGCTCAGTAATCCTGATGGAGGAGATGATTCATATTTTACCACAGGTTGAGGCCTGTGCCAGCCAGGGTCACACTTTATTTGGATAGTCCGGATTTTCCATCTGTAAATGCTCTTACAGATGGTCCCTATCAACAAACTATATATTGATAAGCAACTGCTTGCTAAGGTTACGGTTAGGTTTCGAATAAGAGTAAGGGTTAAGGCTAGGGTTAGGGTAAGGGTTAGGGTTAGGGATAGTTTGTTTAAATGTTATTTATTGTCTGTAGATAGTCTGTAGAGCATCTACAGATTAGGGTTGAATATTGTCCCGGTATTTTGCAAATATTCCATCCCGAGAATAAATCACTTTTCTCCAGGGTAACCCAATATTTCCCGCCAAAACCGGAAGTGTCATTCTAAAGCATATAAAGCATAAAAATATGTCTGGATTTGATTGGAGCTTTGACTGCCATGACAATTCAAGCCTGATGCTACCTGAGCCTGATGAGCCATACATTAAAGCCCAAATGATTGTGTCGTTACCCAATACAGCATATATAATATACTGTATGTGATACCGCACATGACGCATGACATAAAAACATAAAAGCCCATAGATGTAACTATGCTCTCTTGGGTAAATAAATGAAAAGCTCCAGTAGGCTAATCTTTTTGAGTGTGGACTGTATTACTGTACTTTATCGTATTATACTATATTATATGATTGGAACTACGCACCTCATTCAAACCAGGAAGCTGGGAGAGAACATGGGATGCTGGTGCAGGACATGTGTCCTACAAAGTGACAATTATAGGCTAGCAAATGCGATTTTCAATTTTGAAATATATAATAGGGCTTATTACATATTTTTATAATTAGTAGGCTGATGCATATATAGGCTACCTTTCATAATTTCCCCCTAATTCTGTGCGACATGCGCATTAGCCTACTTCCTCTTTCTCTCTCTATTGTTGCTTCATTTCTTCCTTGTTTTTAACAGTTAGCCATTACAATGATCTTCATCATTGTAACGGCATGCTTGAATAATATAGTAATTGAATAAGATGTAGACGGCTTTCATGCCTCTTCACGAAGATTGAGTGGTTATGGGTGATAGTCTGAATAAAAAACTGCTGTACTCTACCGCCATCGCACACGCTCTCTCTTTATTCAAACTCCCAGTGAGTTCAATTGGGCTGCTGTTTTTAACATTCAGCAAACAAGAGTTTGCATCCCTCTTCGAAAAGTTTATTAGTATAAGAAATGGAAAATAATAATAATTCCAACAAGCTATTCTAGTCTAGATTTTCCTGGGACTCCAAGAGCTAAGGAGCAATTTTTTTAAGGAGAGGCCAGCGGAGCGCAGGTGCATATTGCGCAAGAGACAGAGACTATAAATTTAAAAGCTTATGCATAACCCATCATTCATTAGCTAAATATACAGTGCCTTCAGAAAGTATTCACACCCCTATACTCTTTCCACGTTATTGTGTTACAGCATGATTTTCAAATTATTTCAATTGAGATGTTTTGTGCCTTGCCTACACACAATACCCCATAATGTCAAAGTGGAATTATGTTTTTAGACATTTTTACAAATTAATAAAAAATGAAAAGCTGAAATGTCTTGAGTCAATAAAATATTCAACCCCTTTATTATGGCAAGCCTAAATAAGTTCAGCAGTAAAACATAGCTTAACAAGTCACATAATAAGTTGAATGGATGCACTCTGTGTGCAATAACAATGTTTAACATGATTTTTGAATGACTACCTCATATCTGTACCCCACACATACAATTATCTGTAAGGTCCCTCAGTCGAGCAGTGAATTTCAAACACAGATGCAACTACAAAGACCAGGGAGGTTTTCAAATGCCTCGCAAAGAAGGGCACCTATTGGTAGATTGGTTAAACAAAAAAGCAGACATTGAATATGCCTTTGAGCTGGTGAAGTAATTAAATACACTTTGGATGGTGTATCAATACACCCAGTCACTACAAAGATGCAGGTGTCCTTCCTAACTCAGTTGCAGGAGAGGAAGGAAGGTGTGATGTTAAAATAGTTAGAGTTTAATGGCTGTGTTAGGAGAAAACTGAGGATGCATCAACAACATTGTAGTTACTCCACAATACTAACTTAATTGACAGAGTGAAAAGAAGGAAGCTTGTACATGAATCCTGTTTTCAACAAGGCACTAAAGTATTGCTGGGTAAAAATGTGGCAAAGCAATTCACTTTTTGTCCTGAATACAAAGTGTTATGTTTGGGGAATATCCAATACAACACATTACTGAGTATCACTCTCCATATTTTCAATCATATTGGTGGCTGCATCATGTTATTGGTGTGATTGTCATCGTTAAGGACTGAGGAGTTTTTCAAGATAAAAAAGAAACGGAATGGAGCTAAGCACAGGCAAAATCCTAGAGGAAAACCTTGTTTAGTCTGCTTTCCACCAGACACTGGGAGATGAATTAACCTAAAACACAAGGCCAAATCTACACTGGAGTTACTTACCAAGAAGAGAGTGAATGTTCCTGAGTAGCCGAGTTACAGTTTTAACTTAAATCTGCTTGAAAATGATCAACTAGCAATGATCAACAACCAATTTGACAAAGCTTGAATAATTTTTTAAAGAATAATGGGCAAACATTGTACAATCCAGGTGTGCAAAGCTCTTAGAGACTTACATTTATGTAATTTAGCAGATGCTCTTATCCAGAGCAACTTACAGTTAGTGAGTACATACATTTTTCATACTGGCACCTCATTGGAATCGAAACCACAACCCTGGCGTTGCAAGCACCATGCTCTACCAACTGCAAGAGCCATGCTCTACCAACTGAGCTACATGGGACTTACCCAGAATAACTCACAGCTGTAATCGCAGCCAAAGGTAATTCTAACATGTATTGACTCAGGGGTGTGCATACTTATGTAAATGAGATATTTCTGTATTTAATTTTCAATAAATGTGCCAACATTTCTAAAAATCTATCTTGAACAGGATTATCTATTTTGGATGAAATTTGAATGGAATTGATGTAGAGAGAAAGATTGCTCGCATATGAACTGATTTAAAGCAAAGATTTTCAAGTGATAGGCTGTTATTTAAAAAATGCAGCTGCAATAAAAAAAGAAATAATCTTTACAATGAAAAAATATGGTGACCCCTGAAAGCCAGATGGAGACGTGCATTCAGTCCTTATATGACTGTAGAATAGACAACGCTGCAGCAAATGTAGACCTACCTGTCACAAGATTACTGTGATGAGATGATACACGCATTGTGAACTGGCTCCCCACCCTGAGCGTTGATGATTGATCATGCAGATAGCAGAGAGAAGGCCATAGAGAAGCCATATTTAGACATCACATATCATTTAACAGTTCCATTTCATGTCATACTGTTGTCATAAATAATGTATTATTTACCGGTTTCTCATAGTTATTTATCCCTGGAAAAGTGAGTGGGTTTGGGCGGTAAATCTTGGTAACCCGTTTCCGGGATTCAACCTTACTACAGATGGACTATCCAAATAAAGTGTTACCCTGGCCAGCCCCAGGCCCATTCCCAGTCCCATCACCCGCCCCAGCCAGCATCCACACCGGAGCCTCCAGTCCCTGCCCAATTATACGCACCACTCTGGGCACGGATCGAGGAGAGGCCTCCCTGTAGCGGGCTTTTGTTGTGATAGCTGACACAGTCTTGTTTAGTTACCTCTGTCTCTCTGCATGCCATGCTCTCTGTGGAAGGGAGGAGGGCAGGATGCATGCAGATGGTCTCCTGGCATAAGGGGGTTATGTGAGAGGAGTGGTAGGAAGGGAAAAGAGGAGAGTCACTCGGCCGACCAATGGAATGTTGGTTTTTAACCATCGTTGCCCAGTAAAGAGAGATCAGAAAGAAGATAACCCCGGATTATAGACCGATATCTATGTTAAGCGCAGATATGAATCTGTCCTCGTCAATATATACCTTGCTGGCTGGCTGGCTTCTGGGCCTTTCAACCAGGAGCATCAAATCAGTCATGAGACATGCTGCGGTGCCAGAACATTTGCATTTCACACAGATCAAAGTGAGACGAGAGCAGTGTGTTACTCATCCTCCCATCGTCATCAGGTCCTTTCCTCCTCCTCAAACAGGCCCTACCGCCACCGCCATCACCATCACTCCCTTCATTGCCAAGACGAGGCCCTGTGAAGTCACGCTCAATATTTCACATGTCGAAATTACAGTAATGGGTCATGTGTTTGTGGAGAGAGAGGTAGATTTTGCGGTTGAAGTAAATAATTCAGTCATGCAGTGAGATTAGTCATGTTCTCTGTGTAAGGACCTAGTGGCGCTTTTGGCAGTTTCAAGATGGAAATCGTTTCTCTGAAGAGGAGGAAGAAACATGTCTTTGTAATCAGTCCCATGGGTATAATAGACTACACAGAGTGACTGATGCTTCTACGGTGCTACAAATTGTTTTTTTTGCCATTAAAATACTGCAAATCAGTCTCTATCACTAGAGTGTGTTTTTTCATATACAGTGGCTTGCGAAAGTATTCACCCCCCTTGGCATTTTTCCTATTTTTTTGCCTTACAACCTTGAATTAAAATGGATTTTTTGGGGGTTTTGTATCAATTGATTTACACAATTTTTTTTTGTGTGAAAGTGAATACTTTGTAGAGCCACCTTTTGCAGCAATTACAGCTGCAAGTCTCTTGAGGTATGTCTCTATAAGCTTGGCACATCTAGCCACTGGGTTTTTTGTCCATTCTTCCACTGCTCCAGCTCCTTCAAGTTCAATGGGTTCTGCTGGTGTACAGCAATCTTTAAGTCATACCACAGATACTCAATTGGATTGAGGCCTGGGCTTTGACTAGGCCATTCCAAGACATTTAAATGTTTCCACTTACACCACTCGAGTGTTGCTTTAGCAGTATGCTTAGGGTCATTGTCCTGCTGGAAGGTGAACCTCCGTCCCAGTCTCAAATCTCTGAAAGACTGAAACAGGTTTCCCTCGGGAATTTCCCTGTATTTAGTGCCATCTATCATTCCTTCAATTCTGACCAGTTTCCCAGTCCCTGCCGATGAAAAACATCCCCATAGCATGATACTGCCACCACCATGCTTCACTGTGGGGATGGTGTTCTCGGGGTGATGAGAGGTGTTGGGTTTGCGCCAGACATAGTGTTTTCCTTGATGGCCAAAAAGCTAAATTTTAGTCTCATCTGACCAGAGTCCCTTCTTCCATATGTTTGGGGAGTCTCCAACATGCCTTTTGGCGAACACCAAACGTGTTTGCTGATTTCTTTCTTTAAGCAATGGCTTTTTTCTGGCCACTCTTCCGTAAAGCCCAGCTCTATAGAGTGTACGGCTTAAAGTGGTCCTCTGACAGATACTCCAATCTCCGCTGTGGAGCTTTGCAGCTCCTTCAGGGTTATCTTTGGTCTCTTTGTTGCCTCTCTGATTAATGCCCTCCTTGCCTAGTCTGTGCGTTTTGGGGGGCAGCCCTCTCTTGGCAGGTTTGTTGTGGTGCCATATTCTTTCATTTTTTTTTTAATAATGGATTTAAATGGTGCTCCGTGGGATGTTCAAAGTTTCTGACATTTTTTTATAACCCAACCCTGATCTGTACTTTTTTCACAACTGTCCCTGACCTGTTTGGAGAGCTCCTTGGTCTTCATGGTGCCACTTGCTTGGTGGTGCCCCTTGCTTAGTGGTGTTGCAGACTCTGGGGTCATTCAGAACAGGTGTATATATACTGAGATCATGTGACAGATCATGTGACGCTTAAATTGCGCACAGGTGACTTCTGAAGGTAATTTGTTGCACCAGGTCTTATTTAGGGTCTTCATAGCAAAGGGGGTGAATACATATGCACGCACCACTTTTCCGTTATTCATTTTTTAGAATTTTCAGAAGCAATAAAAAAAATTCATTTCACTTCCCCAATTTGGACTATTTGTGTATGTCCATTACATGAAATCCAAATAAAAATCCATTTAAATTACAGGTTGTAATGCCACAAAATAGGAAAAACGCCAAGGGCGACGAATACTTTTGCAAGGCACTGTAATCTGTGGTAGCAGCCCATGTAGGCTGTGTACTAAACTTTGCACTATTTAGTGCACTACTTTTGACCTGGGCCCACAGAGCTCTGGTCAAAAGTAGTGCACTATGTAACGAATAGGGTGTCATTTGGGACGCAACGTAGTCCTCAGACATGGTGTTCAGGTGTAGTTGTGTGAAACTTAAATGGGTAAATGTAACTTTAGGCCTGCTCTTTGTGAATATTTGACCCCACAGATGACCACACTCGTGTCAGACTGCAACTGCTGGATGGAGACCCCCACTCGGACTACATCAATGCCAGCTACATAGACGTAAGTATCAGGCAGCGGCGACGTGAAGGGAATGGGCTGCTACGTTTTATCATAATGTCTTTGTATTTGACTTTTTATAGGAGATGAGACAGCATTATTTTCACTTCAGATCATCTTTACTAAGATATAATCAAATATTGCACAGAGCATTATGGGAATTGTAGTAGAACATGTTACTATGTGCCTGTAACGTTGACATATTATTATCTGCTGCAAACACAGTGCATCTGAGCATGTATTTGCTGCTCTTTGGATGAAAGCATCCTGCAATGACATAACTACGATAATGACAGTGTCCATATGATTGTCTCTATTATGCTGTAGATGCTGTGAATGCCCTGCACTTTGAGAAGCAGCATCAGTATAAGTCGGCATTACAGCTGTATCTATAATCATGTCATCAAGCCCCATTTCATCTAATAAAACAATGACTGGGTCGATTGTGCCAGGATCCGCTGGTAAAATTGACTGTTATACCTGGCTCTAGCCCTAGGAGCCTCAACTGTGTTGATTGTTAATTTATCTCACAGCGGTTGCAATAGTAATGCATTTGAAAATGTTTGTTTTTTTCACACAGTTGATATGGTGAAATGACAATGTCATATTAATGATATGAAATTGATATATTAACGTGAACAAGGCAATTTGTCTCGATGGAACAATATGACAGAATTGCCTTTTATTTTGGCGGATAGGAAAATGAAGAGGCTCGGATTTGATCTGATTTGGAAAGGACCTTGCGCTGTTACACCTTAGGTTTTTATTTTTTCTCTTCTCTTTCTCACAGGGGTATCATAGACCAAGACATTACATCGCCACACAAGGTAATTCAATTGGATGGAGGGGAGGTCTGTAAAGACAGTAGACCGCTGGAAATGTGTCCCCAGACATGGGGGAGGCAATTACTTGGACACCCTAAATAAAATAAAAACACAGTTAAAGCCAATAACAAATTGAAGACACCATTTCTTTAGTTCCATAACAAATGGGGGCTTATCTTAAATTGATCGTGGGCATGGTTGTGCAGTGGATAAGTTGCTCTGCTTCTGGGATCAGATAAAGCATGATGAGACGGTGATGTCATAAATCTCAAGGTTCTTCAGAAAGTATAACTGCATTGGGAAGCCAATGGGGGCTCTAGTCAAAGGTAGTGCACTTTATAGGGGATAGAAGGTGACATTCTCGGGGATAGGGTACCATTTTTAATGCAGCCATAATGACACAATTCGAACACTTGGCTCCTATGTGTACTTCCTGGTTCCTGTTATGATCATCTCTGTCCAATCCTTCTTGATCTTATCCTTGCTTTCTTTTCTCCTTCCAGGCCCCATGCAGGAGACGGTGAGAGATTTCTGGAGGATGATCTGGCAAGAGAATTCTGTCAGTATCGTCATGGTTACGAACCTGGTGGAAGTGGGCAGGGTGAGTTCATCAAAGCGGATTTGAAAGGTGTTAGAGGAGTACTACTCTGGGGACACTGCCAAGTGGCTAAGAACGTGTGACGTTATTGCAGAACCGTCAACGTTCTTATACGGAATGGATTTATGTGCTGTTTATTTCCCCGCTGCTCGAAAAACACTTGGTGAAGAGCCAGTTGTTTAATAGGTCAGGGTGTGTCAGTCATAGCTGATATTCCCCTTCCCTACACCTCATACCATTACTGTTCACAACAACAAATAGTTCACAACAAATCAACAACAAATAAAAAAAAATTTTTTTTTTCAATGTAATTCAATTAGGCCTCTTTGTAAATTATGAATATACTATCAACCACAGAAATATAATGAAATGATTGGTCCTGTAATGTTAAATTAATAATATTATTTCTGTCCCTTTCGGGAACACTTTTGGCTCAACAGCACCCCAGAGGCAAAAGTCCCGCACAGCCTCTTTAAGAGACAAGGATTTGACCATGAATGTTTCTCTTCCCAGGTGAAGTGCGTGAGGTACTGGCCTGACGAGACTGATGTGTACGGAGATATCAAGGTGACACTGATTGAGACAGAGCCACTGGCCGAGTACGTCATCCGCACCTTCACAGTCCAGAAGGTAAACCGACTAAGTCAATAACCATGTTCGCTTGTTTTGTTTTCATTCATTCCAACCTAACGGATTTACATATGTGGTTGACTGCAAGGTTGAAGCTAAGTTGCTCAACTGGGAAATGGGAGTATAATTGAACACTAGTAATCAGTGAGGATTTGCATTGAAAGAAGCACAATATAGTTGGGATGCAGGATTCAGAATTCGACACCATTGTTCTGTTAGCTTTTTTTTCTTTGAAAGGGAAACATCAGAGGAACAGTCATCAAACAAGCAAGCTTTGATAGTCTTGAAATGCATATTTTGTGGCTCCGTGAAAGCCGCTTAAGCAGACAGCACAACAGCTTGTAGTCAACGAATTTTGCCTGCAATTAATCCATCAGTTTTGCAAGAAAGAAAAAGTTCATTTTAACCTTCTCACACTCTCCATTTGAAAGGGAAACAGGAAGTTGTCATTACAGAGCTACACTATCACACCACAACCTTAATTCATGGGCCTTAAAAAGCAGTGCACCGTGATGGGTTCACGCTTCGTATGCTTTCAAATATAGCGTATTCAATCGTTTTAATTACGTCAAATAATGTGCTCTGATATTATGAAAAGCATTATTAATGACGAATCCAAAGGGATTATTTTACTGCACAACGCAGATAGATAGATCTTAAGGCCCGCACACACAGACTTTAATCCGTTGAAAATAAAATGAGCCAGAGCCCACTGGGTTGGCAAGCTTAGACATAGTTTACCCCCCCGATTTACACCGTTACCACCTTCAATAGTGCACCTGTCGACCCAAGTCTCCATACACTCCAAACAGGCGAGGTATTTTAACTGCAGTGTGAAGTGTTATGTGGGCTTTGCCGGCATATCAACGCTGGCAGGCAGGGATTAAACAGTTCACCAACCCAAATGGCAATTAACCACTTAGCATTAGCGCAGAGAGTATAGTTTATTAGGAGCCCCATTAGCTACTGCACATGCTGCAGCTACTCTTCCTGGTGTCCACATAAAATGTACAAATACATGACAAAGTACAGAACAGTAATAGACAAGAACAACATGAGATATGACATTCAATTCCAAAAATGTGTATTATTTTAAATCAGAGTTATATATAGGAAAGACACCACGAGATAACAAAAATACTATTCACACACTATTCATAAATACAGTACCAGTCAAAAGTTTGGACACACCTACTCATTCAAGGGTTTTTCTTTATTTCAAAAAAATTTTACATTGTAGAATAAAAGTCAAGACATCAAAACTATGAAATAACACATATGGAATCATGTAGTAACCAAGAAAGTGTTTAACAAATCAAAATGTATTTTATATTTGAGATTCTTCAAATAGCCACCCTTTGCCTTGATGACAGCTCTGCATACTCTTGGAATTCTCTCAACCATCTTCATGAGGTAGTCACCTGGAATGCATTTCAATTAACAGGTGTGCCTTCTTAAAAGTTCATTTGTGGAATTTCTTTCCATCTTAATGCTTTTGTGCCAATCAGTTGTGTTGTGACAGAAGATAGCCCTATTTGGTAAAATACCAAGTCCATGTTGTGCCATGAACAGCTCAAATAAGTAAAGAGAAACGACAGTCCATCATTACTTTAAGACATGAAGGTCAGTCAATACGGAACATTTCAAGAACTTTGAAAGTTTCTTCAAGTGCAGTCGCAAAAACCATCAAGCGCTATGATGAAACTGGCTCTCATGAGACCCAGAGTTACCTCTGCTGCAGAGGATAAGTTCAGAAATTGCAGCCGAAATAAATGCTTCACAGAGTTCAAGTAACATACACATCTCAACATCAACTGTTTAGAGGGGACTGTGTGAATCAGGCCTTCAAGGTCGAATTGCTGCAAAGAAACCACTACTAAAGGACACCAATAATAAGAAGTGACCTGCTTGGGCCAAGAAACACGAGCAATGGACATTAGAGCGTGGAAATTTGTCCTTTGGTCTGGAGTCCAAATTGGAGATTTTTGGTTCAAACCGCTGTGTCTTTGGGAGACGCGGTGTGGGTGAACGGATGATCTCCGCATGTGAAGTTCCCACCGTAAAGTATGATGGAGGAGGTGTTACAGTGTGGGGGTGCTTTGCTGGTGACTCTGTCTGTGAGGCACACTTAACTAACATGGCTACCACAGCATTCTGCAGCGATACGCCATCCCATCTGGTTTGGGCTTAGTGGGACTATCATTTGTTTTTCAACAGGACAATGACCCAACACACATCCAGGTTGTGTAAGGGCTATTTTGCCAAGAAGGAGAGTGATGGAGTGCTGCATCAGATGACCTGGCCTCCACAATCCCCCGACCTCAACCCAATTGAGATGCTTTGGGATGAGTCGGACAGCAGAGTGAATGAAAAAAAGCAGCCAACAAGTGCTCCTTCAAGACTGTTGTAAAAGCATTCCAGGTGAAGCTGGTTGAGAGAATGCCAAGAGTGTGCAAAGCTGTCATCAAGGCAAAGGGTAGCTATTTGAAGAATCTCAATTATAAAATATATTTTGATTTGTTTAACACTTTTTTGGTTAGTACATGATTCCATATGTGTTATTTCATCGTTTTGATGTCTTCACTATTATTCGACAACGCAAAAATTTTTAAAAATAAAGAAAAACCCTTGAATGAGTAGGTGTGTCCAAACTTTTGACTGGTAGTGTACGTATTCATATTCTTATATACAGTACAGTTAAATGGGAGTTAAAAGGGAGTGGAGGTGTGAAGCCTGTGATTATTAATACTACTGTAGCCCAGCGTTATACTGTACTGTAAATGGCCACTTTCCAGTTTCCGCACATCCACTCCCTTTAAGTGCTATTGCCTTGGCTGATATCCTTATTGGTGGGTTCTATTTCAAATATATTGTTTCGATATCTCACTTTATGGGGGTTCACTCTAGCAGATTCTCTAAAGCCTTGGTCACATTCGCAGTGCTAGCTGAGTGGCGCAGTGGTTTAAGGCACTGCATCACAGTGCTAGCTGTGCCACTAGAGATTCTGGTTCGAATCCAGGCTCTGTCGTAGCCGACTGGGAGACCCATGGGGCAGCGCACAATTGGTCCAGGGTAGGGGAGGGAATGGCCAACAGGGACGTAGCTCATTTGGTAGAGCAGGGCGTTTGCAACGGCAGGGTTGTGGGTTCGATTCCCACGGAGGGCACTCACTAACTGTAAGTCGCTCTGGATAAGAGCATCTGCTAAATGATGCAAGTGCCTCAAATCCTATTTAATTTCATATCTGATTAGAATCTGTTTTTTTTCTGCAGTCTCAACAGCCAAAAAGCACATGGAATCAGATATTTCAACTTCAAATCTGATTCCTGGCCATGTGACTTCTGTCTGAATGGTCAAATCTGATATATTTGCCCTCAAGTGATTTTAGACTGTTATTCAGCATATCTTGTTGCTTACTAGCTACTCTGTTGACAGTTTGAAAATAACATGTGGTAGCTAACTAGCTTGTTAATTGTTTACAAACAAGTTAGTGAATGTGCTAGAAAGCTAAACATCTATCTAACTAGCTAGTTGACTGCTGTGGCTAGCCAAAAATGACTTGTTTTGAAAGGACTCGTTTTGAAAGTTGGATCATGTTATCCTTTGAAGCTTTAAACGTGTTCTTACCCTATGATTTTGAACATTCAAAGCAACTGGGAAACATCCATGGCAGACATTGTTGTCACCTTAGTTTGTACATAACTTCTAAGTGATAGGAAGCACAAGCGCCACCACCAATCAGCCTACACCACTGCACACACACCAATGGTTACTATGACAACTAGAGTAGCCTTGTCAAATGACAAATTAATCTTAACGCTACAGCATGCAATGACATTCTAAACGATTCTGTGCCTTCAACTTTGTGGCAACAGTTTGGGGAAGGCCCTTTTCGGTTTCAGCATGACAATGCCACCATACACAAAGCGAGGTCCAAACAGAAATGGTTTGTCGAGATTGGTGTGGAAGAACTTGACTGGCCTGCATTGAGCCCTGACCTCAACCCCATCGAACACCTTTGGGATGAATTGGAACACTGACTGCGAGCCAGGCCTAATCGCCCAACATCAGTGCACGACCTCACTAATGCTCTTGTGACTGAATGGAAGCAAGTCCCCGCAGGAATGTTCCTATATCTAGTGGAAAGCCTTACCAGAAGAGTGGAGGCTGTTATAGAAGCAAAAGGGGGACCAATTCCATATTAATGCCCATGATTTTGGAATGAGATGTTGAACGAGCAGGTGTCCACATACTTTTGGTCATGTAGTGTATGTGTCCAAAAAACTAAAATATATCCTTAGCTTTCTTATATCTCCTAAATATAGGAAAGACACTTCAACATCTTATTCCTTATGATAAATGTTTTGATTGTCTGTTTTGCCATTTATGAATGTGTTATTCAATGTGTTTCTATGGGCTATTGTAGTAAAGGCCAAATTCAATATTTTATCAAATATTATTTGTATATTTCTATATACCTACTGTACAGCGGAGACCCAAGCTATAGGCTTCTGTAGTGATGTTCAAATGACAGTATGGCGCCAAACCTACGAGTTGATTTATAATTTCTAGAATGTTTTAATTATATGCCCAGACTTTACACTGTATTTTATTTTACAAAGTGTATAATAGATTGTTAAATATTAGCCACTATTGTTAGCCACCGTCAGTTATACCCAAATTCATGTGTAACTGTCACTGACTATAGTGTTAGTTACCTTACATTTTGCATCATTCCATCTTTATTAAAATATATATATATATATTTTAATAAAGATGGAATGGAATGATGCAAAATGTATACGTATTTATGTGTATGTATATATATATATATATATATATATATATATATATGCGAGAGGAAAAAAAACATATGGGGGATTGGAAGTGATGCAGACAATTACATTGATGGAAGTTACAATCTATCTGCAAAGTTGATCTACCCCCTATATATATATACAGTGGGGAGAACAAGTATTTGATACACTGCCGATTTTGCAGGTTTTCCTACTTACAAAGCATGTAGAGGTCTGTAATTTTTATCATAGGTACACTTCAACTGTGAGAGATGGAATCTAAAACAAAAATCCAGAAAATCACATTGTATGATTTTTAAGTAATTAATTTGCATTTGTTTACAGATTATTTCACTTATAATTCACTGTATCACAATTCCAGTGGGTCAGAAGTTTACATACACTAAGTTGACTGTGCCTTTAAACAACTTGGAAAGTTCCAGAAAATTATATAATGGCTTTAGAAGCTTCTGATAGGCTAATTGACATCATTTGAGTCAATTGGAGTTGTACCTGTGGATGTATTTCAAGGCCTAACTTCAAACTCAGTGCCTCTTTGCTTGACATCATGGGAAAATGAAAAGAAATCAACCAAGACCTCAGAAAAATAATTGTAGACCTCCACAAGTCTGGTTCATCCTTGGGAGCAATTTCCAAACGCCTGAAGGTACCACGTTCATCTGTACAAACAATAGTACGCAAGTATAAACACCATGGGACCACGCAGCCGTCATACTGCTCAGGAAGGAGACGCGTTCTGTCTCCTAGAGATGAATGTACTTTGGTGCGAATAGTGCAAATCAATCCCAGAACAACAGCAAAGGACCTTGTGAAGATGCTGGAGGAAACAGGTACAAAAGTATCTATATCCACAGTAAAACGAGTCCTATATCAACATAACCTGAAAGGCCGCTCAGCAAGGAAGAAGCCACTGCTCCAAAACCGCCATAAAAAAGACAGACTACGGTTTGCAACTGCACATTGGGACAAAGATCATACTTTTTTGAGAAATGTCCTGCGGTCTGATGAAACAAAAACAGTTTGGCCATAATGACCATCGTTATATTTGGAGGAAAAAGGGGGTTACTTGCAAGCCGAAGAACACAATCCCAACCGTGAAGCACGGGGGTGGCAGCATCATGCTGTAGGGGTGCTTTGCTGCAGGAGGGACTGGTGCACTTCACAAAATAGATGGCATCATGAGGAAGGAAAATTATGTGGATATATTGAAGCAACATCTCAAGACATCAGTCAGAAAGTTAAAGCTTGGTCGCAAATGGGTCTTCCAAATGGACAATGACCCCAAGCGTACTTCCAAAGTTGTGGCAAAAATGACTTAAGGACAACAAAGTCAAGGTATTGGTGTGACCATCACAAAGTCCTGACCTCAATCCAATAGAAAATGTGTGGGCAGAACTGAAAAAGCGTGTGCGAGCAAGGAGGCCTACAAACCTGACTCAGTTACACCAGCTCTGTCAGCACTAAGCTAAAGAGCTGCCGATTTCAAGGAGCGGGACTCTAACCCGGATGCTTATAAGAAATCCTGCTACGCCCTCCAATGAACCATCAAACAGGCAAAGCATCAATACAGGACTAAGATCGAATCCTACTACACCGGCTCTGACTGTCGTCGAATTTGGCAGCGCTTGCAAACTATCACGGATTACAAAGGGAAACCCAGCCGCGAGCTGCCCAGTGACATGAGCCTACCAGATAAGCCAAATGCCTTCTATGCTTGCGTCGAGGCAAGCAACCCTGAACCATGCGTGAGAGCACCAGCTGTTACGGACGACTGTGTGATCATGCTCTCCATAGCCGATGTAAGGCCTTTAAACAGGTTAACATTCACAAGGCCGTAGGGACAGACAGATTACCAGGACGTGTACTCAGAGCATGCGCCAACCAGCTGGCAAGTGTCTTCACTGACATTTTAAACCTCTCCCTGACCCAGTCTTAAATACCTACATGTTTCAAGCAGACAACTATAGTCTGTGTGCCCAAGAACGCCAATTGAACCTGTCTAAATGACTATTGCCCAGTAGCACTCACATCTGTAGCCATGAAATGATTCGAAAGGCTGGTCATGGCTCACATCAACACCATCATCACAGACACCCTGGACCCAATCCAATTTGCGTACCAACCCCAACAGATCCACAGATGACACCATCTCTATTGCACTTCACACGTCCCTTTCCCACTTGGACAAAAGGAACACCTACAGTGCATTCGGAAAGTATTCAGACCCCTTGACTTTTTCCACATTTTGTTACATTATAGCCTTATTCTAAAATGGATTAAATAGTTTTTATACCCCTCCTCAATCTACACACAATACCCCATAATGGCAAAGCAAAAACAGGTTTTTAGAAAACCTAAATATCATATTTACATAAGTATTCAGACCCTTTACTCAGTACTTTGTTGATGCACCTTTGGCAGTGATTACAGCCTCAAGTCTTCTTGGGTATGATGCTAAAAGCTTGGCACACCTGTATTTGTCATTTCTCCCATACTTCTCTGCAGATCCTCTCAAGCTCTGTCATGTTGGATGGGGAGCGTCGCTGCACAGCTATTTTCAGGTCTCTCAAGAGATATTCGATCAGGTTCACGTCAGGACTCTGGCTGGGCCACTCAAGGATATTCAGAGACTTGTCCCCAAGCCACTCCTACGTTGTCTTGGCTGTGTGCTTAGAGTCATTGTCCTGTTGGAAGGTGAAACTTCGCCCCAGTCTAAGGTCCCGAGTAATCTGGAGCAGGTTTTCATCAAGGATCTCTCTGTACTTTCCTCTGTTCTTCTTTCCCTCGATCCTGACTAGTCTCCCAGTCCATGCCACTGAAAAACATCCCCAAAGCATGATGCTGCCACCACCATGCTTCACTGTAGGGATGGTGCCAGGTTTCCTCCAGATGTGACGCTTGACATTCAGGTCAAAGAGTTCAATCTTGGTTTCATCAGAGCAGAGAATCTTGTTTCTCCGGGTCTGAGACTCCTTTAGGTGCCTTTTGGCAAACTCCAAGTGGGCTGTCATGTGCCTTTTACTGAGGAGTTGCTTCCACCTGGCCACTCTACCATAAAGACCTGATTGGTGGAGTGCTGCAGAGATGGTTGTCCTTTGGAAGGTTCTCCTATCTCCAAAGAGGAACTCTGGAGCTCTGTCAGAGACACCGTCGGGTTCTTGGTCACCTCCCTGACCAAGGTCCTTCTCCCCCTATTGCTTTGTTTGGCCGGGCAGCCAGCTCCAGGAAGAGTCTTGGTGGTTTCAAACTTCTTCCATTTAAGAATGATGGAGGCCACTGTGTTCTTGGGGACCTTCGATGCTGCAGAAATGTTTTGGTACTCTTCCAAAGATCTGTGTCTCCACACAATCCTGTCTCGGAGCTCTACGGACAATTCCTTCGACCTCATGGCTTGGTTTTCGCTCTGATATGAGCTGTCAACTTTGGGACCTTCTATAGACAGGTGTGTGCCTTTCCAAATGATGTCCAATCAATTTAATTTTCAATGTAAACAGGATGCACCTGATCTCAATGTCGAGTCTAATAGAAAAGGGTCTGAATACTTCTGTAAATAAGGTTTATTTTATTTTTAATACATTTGGAAAACATTTTAAAAACTTGTTTTCGCTTTGTCATTATGGGGTATTGTGTGTAGATTGAATTCATTAAAATTAATTTAATCAATTTTAGAATAAAGCTGTAACATAACAAAATGTGGAAAAAAATCAAGGGGTCTGAATACTTTCCGAATGCACTGTACGTGAGAATGCTATTCATTGACTACAGCTCATTGTTCAACACCATACTGCCCTCCTAGCTCATCACTCTTCCCCCTCAGGAGGCTGAAACGATTTGGTATGGGCCCTCAGATTCTCAAAAAGTTAAACAGCTGATCTAGAGAGCATCTTGACTGTCTACATCTGCAAGGCGCTACAGAGGGTAGTGCGGACGGGCCAGTACATCACTGGGGCTGAGCTCCCTGCAATCCAGGTCCTCTATAGCAGGCGGTGCCAGAGGAAAACCCTAAAAAAGACTCCAGACACCCAAGTCATAGATTGTTCTCTCTGCTACCGCATGGCAAGCGGTACTGATGCACCAAGTCTGGAACCAACAGGACCATGAAGAGCTTCTACCCCCAAGCCATAAGACTGCTAAATAGTTAGTTAAATAGTTAACCAAATAGCTACCCGGACTATCTGCATTGACCCTTTTTGCATCACATACGCTGCTGCTAGTGTTTACCATCTGTCACTTTAATCCTAGTTACATGTACATATCTACCGCAATTACCTCGGTACTGGTACCCCTTGTATATAGCCAAGTTATCGTTATTCATTTTGTATCTACAGTGCCTTGCAATAGTATTCATCCCCCTTGGCGTTTTTCCCATTTTGTTGCATTACAACCTGTAATTTGAATTGATTTTATTTGGATTTCATGTAATGGACATACACAGAATAGGCCAAATTGGTGAAGTGAAATTTAAAAAATAACTTGTTTCAAAAAATTAATAACGGAAAAGTGGTGCCATGCCTATGTATTCACAACCTTTGCTATGAAGTCCGTAAATAAGATCTGGCGCAACAAATTACCTCCAGAAGTCACATAATTAGTTAAATAAAGTCCACCTGTGTGCAATCTAAGTGTCACATGATCTGTCACATGATCTCAGTATATATACACCTGTTCTGAAAGGCCCCAGAGTCTGTAACACCACAAAGCAAGGGGCACCACCAAGCAAGCGGCACCATGAAGACCAAGGAGCTCTCCAAACAGGTCAGGGACAAAGATGTGGAGAAGTACAGATCAGGGTTGGGTTATAAAAAAATATCCGAAACTTTGAACATCCCACGGAGCACCATTAAATCATTTTAAAAAAATGGAAAGAATATGGCACCACAACAAACCTGCCAAGAGAGGGCCACCCCCCAAAACTCACAGACCAGGCAGGGAGGGCATTAATCAGAGAGGCAACAAAGAGACCAAAGATAACCCTGAAGGAGCTGCAAAGCTCCACAGCGGAGATTGGAGTATCTGTCAGAGGACCACTTTAAGCCGTACACTCTATAGAGCTGGGCTTTACGGAAGAGTGGCCAGAAAAAAGCCATTGCTTAAAGAAAGAAATCAGCAAACACGTTTGATGTTCGCAAAAAGGCATGTGGGAGACTCCCCAAACATATGGAAGGAGGGACTCTGGTCAGATGAGACTAAAATGTTGCTTTTTGGCCATCAAGGAAAACGCTATGTCTGGCGCAAACCCAACACCTCTCATCACCCCGAGAACACCATCCCCACAATGAAGCATGGTGTCGGCAGTATCATGCTGTGGGGATGTTTTTCATCGGCAGGGACTGGGAAACTGGTCAGAATTGAAGGAATGATGGATGCCGCTAAATACAGGGAAATTCTTGAGGGAAACCTGTTTCAGTCGTCCAGAGATTTCAGACTGGGATGGAGGTTCACCTTCCAGCAGGACAATGGCCCTAAGCATACTGCTAAAGCAACACTCGAGTGTTTTAAGGGGAAACATTTAAATGTATTGGAATGGCCTAGTCAAAGCCCAGACCTCAATCCAATTGAGAATCTGTAGTATGATTTAAAGATTGCTGTACACCAGCGGAACCCATCCAACTTGAAGGAGCTGGAGCAGTTTTACCTCGAAGAAAGGTCAAAAATCCCAGTGGCTAGATGTGCCAAGCTAATAGAGACATACCCCAAGAGACTTGCAGCTGTAATTGCTGCAAAAGGTGGCTCTACAAAGTATTGACTTTGGGGGGTGAATAGTTATGCACGCTCAAGTTTACCGTTTTTTTGTCTTATTTCTTGTTTGTTTCACCCCAAAAAATATTTTGCATCTTCAAAGTGGTAGGCATGTTGTGTAAATCAATTGATACAAACCCCCCCAAAAAACAATTTTAATTCCAGGTTGTAAGGTAACAAAATAGGAAAAATTCCAAGGGGGTGAATACTTTCACAAGCCACTGTATTATTTATTTTCTACTATTTCTTTATTTTCTTTCTCTCTACAATGTTGGGAAGGTCCCATAAGTAATTTCACTCTTAGTCCACAACTGTTGTTTACAATGCATGTGATGAATACAACTTGATTTGATGTCTACATTTGAGCCTCCATTTTGTTGTCAACCCACAGTTTATAATTTAATATATGCCATTTAGCATATGCTTTTATCCAAAGCGGCTTACAGTCATGCGTACATAAATTGTTCATAGGAATCGACTGAGACAAATAGGACCGATGTTTCCAGGAAGTCCACTGTGTATGTTTCTACTTGAGCCTCTAATTTGTTTTCTTTCAGAAGGGCCACCATGAGATTCGGGAGATCCGTCAATTCCACTTCACTAGCTGGCCTGACCATGGGGTGCCCTGCTATGCCACCGGCCTCCTGGGCTTTGTCCGCCAGGTCAAGTTCCTCAACCCTCCCAACGCCGGCCCCATCGTGGCCCACTGCAGGTACATACTGACAATGCTGAGGGTGGGACATGGTCAATTAACACAGGACTACTGGGATTACATATTTATCACTCATGGCTTTCATATATGTATTAATTTGAACATTAATTCAGTATGTCAACGACTATTAGCCTGCTGAGCTAAAGCCTAGGCATTAGCTCAAGGTTCTAACTCAAGTCTTCAGGTCTCAGACACATTTCCCCATCACTGTAATTGGTTTTGAACAGCCTCCCTTACACGACTGTTTATTAACTTGCTGTGGAATCAGACAGCAGAGTTAATTCACAAACTATAGGGCGAGAAAAAAATAATGTGGCTGACTGATGGAACTATACTCACTGATTCAGGTAACTCCCAAATACCTGCACACTCTCTTTGACTACCACCTTCTGCTGCACCACAGGCCCCTGTACTCCCCAGATCCCCACTGAAATAACCACCACAGTAGCTGGGAGCCGTCACTTTCATCTTTAGTGAATGAGCAAGAGCGATGGGAGACTAAGGCCTCTCTCTCTCACTCTCTCTCCTCCACCCCTCCCCAGCCCACTCAAACACCCACCCCTTGAGACCGAGGCATTGAGCTCAGACAGGCAAAGGAGGAGAGGGGTTGGAGGGAGGGAGTGCGTGTGCACAATGAGATGTGACATGGAGAGGCTGCTAAATGGCACAATGCAATTTCACATTTGGCTCGGGACTCTCAAAACAAAGCAGATGTGACTAAAACATTTTCAGAGTGGATTAGCTCAAGTGCCAGGCGCTGTGCTTTCTGCTCCCATGAAGCACGGGGCGCCTTTCTCCCTCTAATACATCCAAGGACGAGATGGGGAGGGAATGTTATTACTGCCAGTTTATCCCCCTTCTTATCTTTGCCCTCTCATAAATTGGATTGATGACATTAACCTTTAAGAATTGCCTGGGAAAAAAGGAGGGTTCACACCTGTCGCGGGAGAGTGACATCCACCTGGTCACCAAATGGTCTTGGATATCCCGACCTTGGAGAAACATAAGCCTATACGCAATGACACAAGATCTGGACTTTTTGAAATGGGAAAAAACCTTCTGGGGAGTGTTCTCTTCAGACCGACAACTCTACCTTATAAATCACGACTTTGGGTAGGGGGGTTTAAAAGGTGGTTGGGAATTGTGCTCATAGAAAAGATTCCCCTCAGAAAAATAGAGGCGGACCAAATGCGAACGCAGCTAGCTAGCTAGGCTTAGAAGTGTTTAGCAGCAGTGGAGAACAACTGGCAGTCTCCATGTGGTCCTCTGTAGCTCAGCTGGTAGAGCACGGCGCTTGTAACGCCAAGGTAGTGGGTTCGATCCCCGGGACCACCCATACACAAAAATGTATGCACGCATGACTGTAAGTCGCTTTGGATAAAAGCGTCTGCTAAATGGCATATTATTATTATTATTATCCATGGAATGAGGCGAGGAACACCATGTCCTCATTATAATTATGGCACATAAATCATCGTATACATTTTTATAAATGTTATAACAACCCATCTATACTAAAAGGAGAGACAAATTAGACGACTGCAACTTGTAAAATGTTACTGTCTGGTAGCTAGCAACTTATGCTAGCTAGCTACCTAGCATTGTTCAGCTTATAGTAATTTAGACATCCAGCTAGCTAACCATCTAATACTAGCTTTAACTTGCTCACTATCCATTAGTAATCGGCTAGCTAATCAAATGTATGTTTTGGTTATAAATTAGCTCTACTACAGGCTAAACATTTTCCTTACCTTCACTAAAGTTATTATTCATGTTTCTTCTTGGATGCCCCTGTTGACATAAACCAATGTCAATCACCCATGTATTCTACTGTAGCTAGATAATGTACTACCAATGCTCACTGGCATGTTTCTGTTCCAATTTTGGCATTGCTTTAAGTAGTCGTCAATGATTACAGTGGCTTGCAAAAATATTCACCCCACTTGGCATTTTTCAAATTTCTTTGCCTTACAACCTGGAATTAAAATTGATTTTTTGGGGTGTTTGTATCAATTGATTTACACAACATGCCTACCAGCTTTGCAGCTCCTTCAGGGCTATCTTTGGTCTCTTTGTTGCCTCTCTGATTAATGCCGTCCTTGCCTGGTCCATGAGTTTTGAGGTGCGGCCCTCTCTTGGCAGGTTTGTTGTGGTGCCATATTCTTTCAATTTTTTAAAATAATGGATTTATTGGTGCTCCGTGGGATGTTCAAAGTTTCGGATCTGTACTTACATTTACGTCATTTAGCAGACGCTCTTATACAGAGCAACTTACAGGAGCAATTAGGGTTAATCGACAGATTTTTCACCTAGTCAGCTCAGGGATTAGAACCAGCGACCTTTCGGTTACTGGCACAACGCTTTTACCCACTAAGCTACCTGCCGCCCCAAGTACTTCTCCACAATTTTGTCCCTGACCTGTTTGGAGAGCTCCTTGGTCTTCATGGTGCCGCTTGCTTGGTGGTGCCCCTTGCTTAGTAGTGTTGCAGACTCTGGGGCCTTTCAGAACAGGTGTATATATACTTAGATCATGTGACAGACCATGTGACACTTAGATTGCACACAGGTGGACTTTATTTAGCTAATTATGTGACTTCTGAAGATAATTGGTTGCACCAGATCTTATTTAGGGGCTTCATAGCAAAGGGGGTGAATACATATCCAGGCACCACTTTTCCGTTATAATTTTTTATTTATTTTTTAAACGAGTTAATTTTTTCATTTCACTTCACCAATTTGGATTATTTTGAGTATGTCCATTACATGAAATCCAATTAAAAGTCAATTTAAATTACATGTTGGGATACAACCTGTACCAATTGAAAAACGTCAAGTGGGATGAATACTTCTGCAAGGAACTGTGGTTAGGAACGCCTCTCACCTGGTTGTCTAGGTCTTAATTGGACACAAATTGAAAGGAAATAACCAAAACCAGCAGACACACTGCCCTCCAGGAATTGAGTTTGACACCCCTGATCAAATGCGACAAAAAAAAGTTTGTATTGTACGTTGGTTGTCAATCATTCCCTCTAATCAAAGATCAATTCCCTTAAACCTGTGGATCCAGGTGTGTTTGGGAAGTCAGTACCATAAATAAATAAAGTAAGTTCTAGAGAAAAGCCAGTCTCTCTCTCTTACCCTGTCTTATCCTTTGGGACTTTGTAGAACCATTCAGTTGAGTGCATTTGTGGCACAACTCATGTGTTAGTGGGGGCCGGCTGACTTGCGTCTCTTTGAGCTCTTTAGTTGTCTGTCGTCATCCACATCACCTGGGATGTAGATGAGCTGTCACAGTACCATATTGAATGCCGCCTCTTCAACTTTTCTGCTCTTACAGCAGAAAATAAGAGAGAGCGAAAGAGAGGGGGAGAGATTAGAATTTACAGGCTGTGCTAGGGGCCATGATGGGCAGGCATCACCATGGCACCTCCAGGGGCCAATGCTGGGGTTACATATGACAATAACCAATGGGGTGAGTGTAGCAATGATAAGCTGGTAGTAGTATGAACATATTGAACCTAAGGAGTAGCTAGTGTTCTCTGTCTGTAACGTCACTTGTCTGCTTTGCTACACTGTGATGGGTGATTTTAAGGAGTCAGGCGCAGGAGGGTAAATCACAGAATAACAGGATTTATTCCGGAATACAGATTACGCAGTAAAGCATCAAAACAGTCCAGTGCGCAAAACATGCGCACTGGAACCAACAAGGCACACAGAGAAAATAACCCGGCGATACAAAATACAAGGAGCTCCACCGAGCTTCACTATCCTCACAATAAACAATCACACACAAAGACAAGGGAGCAGAGGGATTTCAATGACATACCTTACATATTAAATAAAGGCAAAACAAAAATCCTGTAAGACGTGAAGTAAATGCCACCCGTCTGTCATTTTCCTCTTTGATACACTTGTCTAACAGACCTAGGGATGGTCTGAGAGAGTGAGAGAGAGGGACTGGATTACCTGACTGTGTTGGAGCCAAGAAGCCAGACACAGCCAGCAGCACACACACCTCCTTCTCGAGCACCGCCCCAAACACACACCTGCTACCTGGGGAGAGAGAGAGAGAGGGAAGGGCCAGAGACTAGGGTTACTTCAACCTTCAATGGGGCATTGAAATATATTTTGATACCATAGAATTAGAATGAATAGAACATACCTTTCAATTCAAAGCTAATGCCTGGTGAGGGCTCTTAGAGAGAGAGAGAGAGAGAGAGAGAGAGAGAGAGAGAGAGAGAGAGAGAGAGAGAGAGAGAGAGAGACTAGTGTTAAAACTACTCTTCACAAAAGCCTTTATTCTGTGTCATCTAAAGATGCTTGTAACCTCCGTAGCAAGACTACTATAGCCATGTCTCAGGGCAAACTAGCTATAACCATAGACATAGATAAGATATCTAGCTAGCTAGCTATACAAATAGATAGCTACCCACTGGGCACAGACGTCAGTTCAACGTCTAGTTTTGATTTACATTTGGTTAAATAACGTGAATTCTATGTGAAATCAACATAAAATGAAATGTCAACCTTTCATTGGATTTAGGTTAAAAGTTTTGGGGAAAGAAATACTAAATTCCCTTTGATGACTTTTTGCAAATCCAATCACTTTTCCACGTTTGTTCAACGTAATCACATATCATGTTTTTGTTTAAATGACGTGGAAACAACATTGATTTAACCCGTTTTTGCCCAGTGGTACTGCTGTGACTAGCTAACTTCAATGCAAATGTATTTAGTGAGCATTGAATAAGATAAACAACAGAAAGCTAGCTAGCTAGTTAACCATCTGTAGGAACAGGAAGATTATTTTTCTAGCAAGCAAATAAGCAATTGTTGTCAGCACTGACCTGCTAAGTAATCATAGCAGCTAGAACAGAAATGGTAAAGCTCTCACCGGCTTCATATCCATAGCACAGCAACACATTCAAGCATTTATCCAGCTGAATCCTCATGTTCAAATATATCTAAGTTTGCTAGCAAGCTCAATAGCTAGCTAGCTAAATAGCAAATTCAATGTATTCCTGTCTGGAGATGGCCACCAGCTAGGTAGGTAATGTTCGTTAGTTAACAAATTCACAAATTCACTGGTGTCACAACATAATACATACAAATACAACAACAGAAACCGTCAGTTAGCCATCACACCATGTGAAGGTAGCTGATGCAAACTTGTGAAATGCAGTCATTAAAAACATCCTCCATTGTGCTAGGTCCTGTGTAGCTCAGTTGGTAGAGCATGGTGCTTGCAACGCCAGGGTTATGGGTTTGATTCCCATGGGGTACCACTACGAAAATGTGTGTATTCACTACTGTAAGTCGCTCTGAATAAGAGCGTCGGCTAAATGACTAAAATGTAACTAGTTTGTGTCCTGGGATTGTTAATGCTAGGGCAATAGGCGGAAAAGGCATTGACGTCAGAAAGTTGCAACTTTTTGCGTGTGTCCCATTTCCGACTCATCCTCTACGTCCGAACTTTCGGCAGAAGTTGTACAGACGTCTCAAACTGTAGCATTCAAAGATTGCCGAAGTAAGCCGTCTCCCCCGTAGCAGCCCACTATATTTAACCTTAGTGTACCTGTCATTCATTACCTCATCGCTTTTCCATGATCCAAAGCGTTGTCGGTTCAAGTTCTCCTAAAAAGTTCAGCCTGGCTTTCGAAATACAATGCTCCGATCACTCCCCAACCGAATTCCACCATTGAGCGCTGACAACAAATGTCCAATGGAGTTGCATAGAGGTTGGCAGCGATTCCCCACTTAACTGAAATATAGATGGGATTCAGATGAAGGCCAACAGGATAAGCTTTGGCCCACAGAGTGTAGGCCCCCATTTACAGACTGCGGATTAATTTCAAATTTCCCGGGGCACTCCTTGACCGTTATCCCCATGCCAGGACCCAGTTGTTTGCCGCTCTCACCATGAATCACTAGCAGCTGACAGGCAATCTGACAGGCTGCTGTGTTACTGAGTGGCCCCCGGCTCCTGAGATCCGGAGCTGGGACCTGTCAGGATGCTGCTGAGTGAATGATGGCTGAGCAGCCCCCCTCTCCTACCTCTCCTCTACCTCTTCTCCACCACTATCTCCCTCCCATCACAACCCCTTCCCTCCCTTGCTCCCTCCCTCCTTCACAGCCCATCTGCTGGGTGTGTATCCTTAACACCTAACACCGGGGTCAGGGGAAATAGCTCTAACCCCTACCTGTCACTCGCAGGGGCTGATGGAGTGCGCTGTTTGTCAGCGCCATAAGGCCGTCTTGTCTCCTTTGGCTAACTGTGGGAGCGCAGCGTGGTTCAATATATGTTTATCATAGGGCAGGAGCATGTCGCCGCCGCTAACTGTGGCAGGTCGATACAGAGGACAGATTAGGAACTGCACACTCCTCCAAAAGGGTTCTTTGGCTGTCCCCATAGGCGAACCCTTTTTGGTTCCAGGTAGAACCCTTTTGGGTTCCAGGTTGAACCCTTTTGGGTTCCATGTAGAACCCTCTTTAGAAAGGGTTCTAAATGGAACACAAAAGGGTTATACCTGGTACCAAAAAGGGCTCTTCAAAAGGGTTCTTCTATGGGGATAGCCGAAGAACCCTTTTAGGTTCTAGATAGCAAAACAATTATAAGAGTGTACTGTACGGAAAAGGCCTTACTGGAGACATTGATTATATGCTTTTTCTCTCTCTCTCTCTCTTTGTCTCTCTTTGTCTCTTTCTCTCTCTCTTTCTCTCTCTTCCCCCTCTCTCTCGCCAGTGCTGGGGCTGGAAGGACAGGCTGTTTCATAGCTGTGGACATCATGCTGGATATGGCCGAGAACGAGGGTGTGGTGGACATCTTCAACTGCATCCGCGAACTGCGCTCACAAAGGGTTAACATGGTGCAAACCGAGGTTGGTGAAGCAATGTACTGATTAGCTTGGCTGTGGATAGTGGGTAAGAAGAGAGCAGTGATGTATCATAGTTGAAGCATTAGTCATTACAGTGCCCTGCAAAGGAAATAATGATACATAATGGCACATAATGGTACATTAAAAATGGTACAGTGTTTAAAAGTACAGTTAGCCAATTAGCATAGCATTAGCCATCCTTATACCTAGCTTTAACATGGTATTTTGAGGTTAGCATTAACATTAGCCATCCACATGTTATTTGGTTACTAGCAGTTACACAGATAGCATTAGCCATCCTCATACCAAGCATAAAGGGAGTGCAACCAAAGTTCAAAGTCACAGCAAGTCTGTTAGCGTAGCATTTGCCATCGCCATGGCGAAGGGTTAAGAATAGCTCAAACAGTTGCCTGCTATGGTTAGTATTTCCCAGACAGTCACCAGACTGATCCTATGTCACAACCCACTGCCCACAGTTAGTTGCTCTGCGTGAAATATTCAGCAGGGATATTTTAAAGTGAGTCCTATTGAGGGACACTGTAAAGCATAGAAATAGGATGTTGTAAAGCCTAGAAATGATAATGTAAAGTGAGTCCTATGCAGGGAGAGTCTAAAGCATAGAACTGTAATATAAAGAATGGGAAAAGCCCCCCAGACCTTGAAACCAGATTCTATTTCTATGATATATAAGCCTGGGCCTTAGCTGCCAGACGGGCCAATCCAGGCTATTAGGGTTACATTTCCCAGCGGATCATGCAGTCAGTGATGGAACAGTGGTTCTTAGTGGGGAAACAGTACCTGTGAGATAATGTGTGTGTTTGAGATCAACTACATTGCAGTTGGGCCGAACAGAATCACTGATCTACAAATCACCTTGCATCCCGACTAACTACTCATTATTTGATCAAGATGAACTATTCTGTGATTCTCATCTTGCTCAAACTACTCCCCTCAAACACTCTGAGTGCTACTCCAATGTCAATAGTGAGAATGACAAAATGGCTAAAATAACTACTATTGTTTTATTAACTTCTGTGTACCCACTAGACCGACATACATTGTATATTCTCAACGACTCCGCGACTAGCAACTGTTCGTAAACACCATCAGCAAGCATGATATCACTTCTGATCAAATGTGTGTGGTGTCTCCTCTGGAAGATTTCCCAAGTCAGGCGAGTGTAGCTACCTCTGGAGTGTGCTCAGTCATGCATCTTCCATCCCAATGATCCTATTAATATTAAATACATGTTGAATAATAGATAACTTAGTCCGCACACGTTTTATTCTATGAATAAAAAAAATGACTCAAATGTAATAAGTGTGTTTGCTAAGTGTCTGAGGGTTACGACCCCGGGAGTTTTGCAGTCCCCCTTAAATAACGGTAATACAACAGCAAACTCATGTTGTTCTTCACATTAATATCTCTGGTAAACACACACTATACCAAATAAAATATATGTTTATTTGTCACATGCACAGGATACAGAAGGTGTAAATCGTACAGTGAAATGGTTACTTGCATATTTGCATAGTAGCAATATCAAAAACAGAAATTGTATTATTATTAGATGACGGTTACCCAACACATTTGTCTAAATTGATGGGTCATGTGAAGGAAATGCTATAACCACCCCCCAGCCACATCTAGCTAAGTGGAGGGGTCACTGTTGTCTAGACATGTACACATGTTCATGAAATACAGTAGATGGCCATAATCACCCCCAGACACACCTGGCTAATTTGATGGTTCATGTAATCATCTGGCGAAGTGGAGTCTTTTGTTTAGACATGTAGCTAGCTAGCTAAACAATGAACCGGCATAATCCCAACTCATACTACTACCAATACAAACTGATTGTCATAGCTGTAGTATAAATATGTAGGTAGCTAAAGCTAACCAATTAGGTTAAATGTTAGCTAGCTAGCTAATATTAGGCAATAACTCGCAATGCAAATAGATTTCTGATTAGAATAATATTACTAAAGATATCATACATGTAACGTTAGCTAGCGAGAGAGCAAGCTAATGTTCGCTAGCTAGCCAACAGTACGCTTTAACTTGCAATGAAAATGACTTCTGACAAAATGTGAAATATATAATATCTGAAAATGTAGCTAGACTCTCACCCATATACATGGATGAATGCTTCACGGTAGACTGGAACAATTTAACTCTGTTTGTTTGTAGCTACATCTTGTTTGGCCAGCATTGTGCCAAGTCATTCCAGTTCACACTGACTGTGGAGTGTGCAGAAAGTAGTCCATCACAACTTTTTCCAACTGATTTGTTGTTGAGAAAAGTAGCAAAACTTTTGTTGTTCACAGTGGCTAATGTTATATCTTTAAAAAAATATGCGGTAGAAAGGTTATCAACACATACTGAGCAGCTCACATTGTAGTAAGAAGCATGCTACCTGGCAGACCAATCCAAACTCATCTCCTGGCATGTCCAGCCCATCCATTATCTCAGCCAGTCATGGCTAGCGTGAAGGTACCTGTCTTTTTCCTTAGCTAAACCAACTAGTCTCGTAATTTAACAATTTTATTCGTATTTACAGATGGAATACAAATTTGTTATTAAGGCACATGAAAGTTCACATGTTCCAGAAGGCATTTCTGCAAAAAAAAAAAAACATTTTGATCATTAAAAAAATGCCTTTCCTGTGAAGTAGTGACATGTGACATATGCCTAGCTTCCTGAAACGGTTAGCATATATCAGTAGAGGCTCCTCAGAGAAGGAAGGGGAGGACCATAGTGAAACATAAAAAATATATTATTTTTAGAAGACATCCTCCAACCTATCAGAGCTCTTGCAGCTCTTGCAGAACTGACATCAAAGGAGCAGAAAATGAATCTACTGAATGCATAATCTACAGATTACTAGCACTGCAGCGCATAAAATGTGGTGAGTAGTTGACTCAAAGAGAGAGAGAGAGAGAGAGAGAGAGAGAGAGAGAGAGAGAGAGAGAGAGAGAGAGAGAGAGAGAGAGAGAGAGAGAGAGAGAGAGACTGTGTGTAGCGTTGCAGGAGTCTCTTAGTTTGAGTCAGGTAGGTTTTATTTCGTTTTATTTCACGTTCACTTACTTAGCTAGCTAATGCAGCTAGCGAATTTTGCCTATTGAAACACCCGGTTAAACAGAGAGGAATGCTATTTATGTTAGTTAGCTGGCTAAGGCTATCCAACACTGGAACTCTTCCAAGTCAAAGTAAGCTTTTGGTTCTATTAATTTATTGCCACCGGGGCCCACCAGTGTAACTGCTAAACTGCTTGCTGTACATTGTACTGAGTGATTGTAGCGGGTTTACTAACGCGTTGGTTCTAGTAGCAATGTTGACTATAACGTTAACTAATATGGTGACAACGATGTAGGCTGTGTGTAGCGGTTATGGTATGATGGTTTGAGTTGGAAAGTTTTTGTCTCCTGGTGTCAGACAACTGTTGTGTTGTGCACTGAAGCCAACAAGCGAAGGGAAAGGTGAGAGGAGGAGAGTGATAAGATGCGAGAAGGAATTATACAATGAGCAAAGTGATGATGCTGTTTGTATGTGGCTGCTATGAAAGTGATCTGTGTGTGCGGGTGATCAGGGGTTTATTCATTCTACCGATTCTGTTGAAAAACGTTTCTTAAACGGAAGCAAACGGAACGAAACAGGGATAAACCTACCTGAGTTTGTCCAATAGAAACTCTTGTTTGCAACTGTTTGGACTAATGATTACAGCTAGATGCAGGCAAGCGTGTGGAAGGCGGTATTGAACGTGTCACTGTCTGTCACCTTGATTACTCCAATTTGTCTCTCGACCTGTACACCTGCCGGATTGAATGGGCTCGTTGGCCTACGTGCCGAATGTTGCCCCCCCCCATTCTAATGCCTGAGCCTTCCGCATTGTTGAGTGAAAATATGCATAATGCTATTCATGCTATTCAGTGGCTGGGCTTTTGGAGATTATTTAATATCACTGGCCACTTGATGAACACAATGCAACCACTGTTGAGCCGCACACAACATCTTGAACTCCTTTTAAGGGCGTTACATGGCTGCCTTTTTTCCCGCGGTTCACGTACTTCTCCATAGGAGATTACTTTACCTGCTTCAAACTGCAAATTTATGCAATGCGCTTTTCAGGCTATGAAATCCGTTTCATCACCGAGCATGAGGTTATGTGTTAAAAATGTTTTGTTCTGTGTTAGATTTGACGTATTGACGTTCAGTAATGACTACTAGGTAACACTTTACATTAAGTTGCCTATATTACAATGTAAGTACACAGTAATAACTGTAGTAACAACATGCAGTAGTAGTTACATAGGTGTTGCTATGTAATTACATGGTACTAGGGTTGTAGCGTTATGGGTTATTACACAATTCGAACAAGGAATGTGTAGTTACACATCCACTTGCTGTAGGTTATTCCACATGTGTAATTACTCATGTTACAACATATTTTCTTGTTCCACTATGTAACTAATATTTTGTAATTACATGTTTTTAAGTCACCTGTGAATTACCATGTTAATAGCTTCAACCAAAATCTGACCTTGTTACATATACCGACAAGGTGCCATTAGCATCGAATCCACATGTAATACCAGGGTTGTTAAATAGTCTGGTCACAATAATTGTAACAAAGCACACCCTGTAATTAACTTCCAGTCATTTTCAATTTGTTTATTTCTATGACCTGGCTTAAAGGCCCAGTGCAGTTTAAAATGTTATTTTCCTTTGTTTTATATATACAGTGCCTTCGGAAAGTATTCAGACCGCTTTACTTTTTCCACATTTTGATACTTACAGCCGTAATCTAAAATTTATTAAATTGTTATTTTCCCTCATCAATCTACACACAATACCCCATAATGACAAAGCAAAAACAGGTTTTTAGAATTTTTCGCAAAAAATAAACCAAAAAATAAAATGAAACATTACATTTACTTAAGTCTTCAGACCCTTTACTCAGTACTTTGTTGAAGCACCTTTGGCAGCGATTACAGCCTCGAGTCTTCTTGGGTATGACGCTACAAGCTTGGCACACCTGTGTTTGGGGAGTTTCTCCCATTCTTCTCTGCAGATCCTCTCAAGCTCTGTCAGGTTGGATGGAGAGTGTTACTGCACAGCTATTTCCAGGTCTCTCCAGAGATGTTCGATCGGGTTCAAGTCCGCTCTCTGGCTGGGCCAGTCTAGGACATTCAGAGATTTGTCCCGAAGCCCCTCCTGCGTTGTCTTGGCTGTGTGCTTAGGGTCGTCGTCCTGTTGGAAGGTGAACCTTCGCCCCAGTCTGAGGTCCTGAGTGCTCTGGAGCAGGTTTTCATCAAGGATGGCTCTGTACTTTGCCTCAATCCTGACTAGTCGCCAAGTCCCTGCCGCTGAAAAACATCCCCACAGCATGATGCTGCCACCACCATGCTTCACTGTAGGGATGGTGCCAGGTTTTCTCCAGATGTGATGCTTGGCATTCAGGCCAAAGAGTTCAATCTTCATTTCATTAGACCAGAGAATCTTGTTTCTCATGGTCTGGCAGTCTTTAGGTGCCTTTTGGCAAACTCCAAGCGGGCTGTCATGTGCCTTTTTAATGAGGAGTGGCTTCCGTCTGGCCACTCTATCATAAAGGCCTCATTGGTGGAGTGCTGCCGAGATGGTTGACCTTCTGGAAGGTTCTCCCATCTCCACAGAGGAACTCTAGAGCTCTGTCAGAGTGACCACCTCCCTGATCAAGGCCCTTCTACCCCGATAGCTCAGTTTGCCTGGGCGGCCAGCTCTAGGAAGAGTCTTGGTGGTTCCAACATTCTTCTTTTTAAGAATGATGGAGGCTACTGTGTTCTTGGGGACCTTCAATGCTGCAGACATTTTTTGGTACCCTTCTCCAGATCTGTGCCTCGACACAATCCTGTCTCAGAGCTCTACGGACAATTCATTCAACCTTAAGGCTTGATTTTTGCTCTGACATACACTGTCAACTGTGGGACCTTATATAGACAGGTGTGTGCCTTTCCAAATCATGTCCAATCAATTGAATTCACCACAGGTGGACTCCAATCAAGTTGTTGAAACAGGATGCACCTGAGCTCAACTTCGAGTCTAATAGCAAACGGTCTGAATACCTAAGTAAATGTGATATCTGTTTTTTCTAAAAACCTGTTTTTGCTTTGTCATTATGGGGTATTGTGTGCAGATTGATGCAGATTTTAATTTATTTAATCAATTTTAAAATAAGGCTGTAAAGTAACAAAGTGTGGAAAAAGTCAAGGGGTCTGAATACTTTCCGAATGCACTGTACCACACCCCTCGTGCGTTATTTCTTAAGTATATCCTACGTAACTACATTGTTCTTACATTACACTTGATTCAGTATACCCTTTGAGCCAGGTAATAACACAGATATTAACTCATCTAAAATAACCAGTAGATAATAACAGGGTGTGCCTTCCTACAATTGTTGTTACCAGGTCCTAGCCTATTTACATCATTAGATCAAGATGGTATCAACCCTGGTATTACCGGTGGATTTGATGGTAATGGCACCATATAGTTACATGTAACAAGGTCAAATTTTGGTTCGAATTATTAACATAGTAATTAACAGGTGACTCTCAAACGTGTAATTACAAAACATTAGTTACATAGTGTAACAAGAAAATGTGTAACATCAGTAATTACACATGTGGAATAACCTTCAGCAAGTGGTTGTGTCATTTCTCAATCGTTGTTCCAATTGTGTAATAACTGATATCGCTACAACCCTATTACTATGTAATTACATAGTAATACCTATGTAACTACTATGTTGGTACTACAGTTATTACTGCGTAGTTGCATGGTAATAGGGGCAACTAATTATGGTTTTGTGTATCTGTGTACAAACAGTAATACAGTTGGGCTCGGTACCTGTATGTACTGCTCTGTTCTCAAAACATTTCAACAGTACATGTGAATTGAGTCTAATGGATTTGAATAGGGTCCAACTACTGGTTGAAGTGCTGTAATAAAGTGGGCCTTGAGTGTGTTGAGGTTGACCTAAAGGGTAGAAGTACATGAACCGCTTATGTCATATTATTTTATGTCATCTCACCTGTTATGTCATGTGTCCTACCCCAGGAGCAGTATGTCTTTGTCCACGATGCCATCCTGGAAGCCTTCCTGTGTGGAAACACGGCCATCCCAGTCTGTGAATTCAGAGCCATATACTACAACATCATCAGACTGGACCCACAGACCAACTCCAGCCAAATTAAGGACGAGTTTCAGGTTAGCACCCTCCACTTTTAGCACCCTCCACTTCTGTCTGTCTGTTTGTATGTATGTCCTTCTCTTATCCTCCTAAGAGGCATGGTATTTGCCTTTTCCACCTAAGATGGGTGACATTTGCCTTCTCCAAGAACAAGGCCTCGTAGCTACCATCAGGAAGCAGTAGGAACTCGGCAGCTAAGCACTTTCCTTGTGCTCCGTATTCTCTCTGAGATGAATATCCCATCACTGTATCAAGCACAGGTCTCAGATCTGTCATCTGTCTCATAATGTATGATGCATATCTCTCTATCACTCTCCCAATGTTGATCTCCCTCGTTCTCCCTCATAAATAAGTCATCTGCAGCCTTCGCTTCAGTGAAGTATTTGCACTTGTTGAAGGCTCCGACTACTAGTAATGTATTTTTTGTTAGAATATGGAAATCTAAGAAAATAGGAGCAGATTATTAGTTTTCCTGGGCTTATTTACACACCAATTCATTCTCCACTACTAGTCTGGGCAGTTGATTCAGGGCTGTGTTATTGTGAGTGTTGCAGAGGAGGTGGTTTGGTGAATAACGCTAGTGGAGGGAGAAACCTTGCCTGAGACCTGAATACTTGTAGTTCCCAGAGACTAATGTAATGCCTATAGGCTTTAGCTTAGAAGAATACTGTAATATAGTATTGTGTCTCGCGAACATCTCAGGTTTGAAGTTAATTCCCAGTAGGTTACAAAAACGTGTCGAAGATGAAAATAGTCAGCAACTCTTGGTAAGACAATGGAGGTTTTCTTTAAAAAATTTGTTAAAACCTAAAAAATAATTGTCCAAATAACGTCTTCGCTTTCCAGACTCTGAACATCGTGACTCCCCGGGTGCGGCCTGAAGACTGTAGCGTGGGACTGCTCCCCCGGAACCACGACAAGAACCGCAGCATGGACGTCCTGTCCGTGGATCGCTGCCTACCTTTCCTCATCTCTGTTGATGGAGAGTCCAGTAACTATATCAACGCTGCCCTCATGGACGTAAGTTCATCTAGAGAGAGAGAGAGAGAGAGAGAGAGAGCGAGCGAGAGAGGAGAGAGAGAGGAGAGAGAAGAGAGGAGAGAGGGAGAGAGAGAGAGAGAGAGAGAGAGAGAGAGAGAGAGAGAGAGAGCGGAGAGAGAGAGAGAGCGAGGAGCGAGAGAGGAGAGAGAGAGAGAGAGAGAGAGAGAGAGAGAGAGAGAGAGAGAGAGAGAGAGAGAGAAGAGAGAGAGAGAGAGGAGAGAGAGAGAAGAGAGAGCGAGAGAGAGAGGAGATAGAGAGAGCGCGAGAGAGAGATATAGCCTAGACCGAGACGAGAGATCGTATAGCGCTCCTCGATATCGCTCACTATCTATGCTATCTCTTCTCTTCTCTCTCTCTCTCTCTCTCTCTCTCTCTCTCTCTATCTCTCTCTCTCTCTCTCTCTCTCTCTACTGACGGCTGAAGTGCTGTGTTTTTAATTTTTTTCCAGAGCCATAAACAGCCAGCAGCCTTCATCGTAACCCAGCACCCGCTGCCCAACACGGCGGCCGACTTCTGGAGGCTGGTCTTTGACTACAACTGCTCCTCGATAGTCATGCTCAACGAGATGGATGCAGCGCAGGTGTGTATTGTTCACCCTCTGGGTTCGCATACACACAGGAATGTGTGCACACACATATATGTGCACGTAAGCATACGCATGCACACACATAGACACATACACACACAGTGACCTCGCTTATCTCTTTGACTATCGGTCTGCCGTGGGGGTCTTACACATGCTCTATCACTCTCTGTTCATCTCTACAGGAGAAAAATTATTTTTTCCCCTGCTGATTTGGTACGTTTGCCCACTGACAAAGAAATGAGCAGTCTATAATTGTAATGGAAGGTTTATTTGAACAGTGAGAGACAGAATAACAACAAAATAATCCAGAAAAATGCATGCCAAGAGTGTGCAAAGCTGTCATCAAGGCAAAGGGTGGCTATATATATTTTGATTTGTTTAACACTTTTTTGGTTACTACGTGATTCCATATGTGTTATTTCATAGTTTTGATGTCTTCGCTATTATTCTACAATGTAGAAAATAGTAAAAATAAAGAAAAACCCTTGAATGAGTAGGTGTTTCCAACCTTTTGACTGGTACTGTAGCTAGGCTAATTATATTTCTATGGCTAACCCACTCTTTTCTCCCTAGCTTTGCATGCAGTACTGGCCCGAGAAGAGCTCCTGCTGCTACGGCCCCGTCCAGGTGGAGTTCATCTCAGCCGACATCGATGAAGACATCATCAATCGCATCTTCAGGATCTGCAACATGGCCAGGGTCTGTATCACAATAAAGAAAGTACGGTGGCAAACCATGTTTTAAAATGAATAGGGCACACTGTATAGGTTACTTATTATTATCACAGTCATAGAAACTAGAATCTATGTCTGTAGGACTTTATCAGGCTCAACTCGTTTCCTCTCATAGGTCACGAACTGTATTACATTCCATAGGTCACAGACCAGCATAAAAAAGAAACAGATGCTCAGATGCTAGATGCACTGAATTTGTCTTGCCTCCACTTCTATGACAGTCCACTATGATATATCGCTAGGACACTGTCCTGTCAGTTACTCCTTCAAATGTCAACCTAATTGCTTTTGCCATGCACACCACGTATCCATGTAAGACCTGGGTTCAAATACTATTCTAAATCATTTATAATACTCCAGCATTGTTTGAATTAGCTTGCCTGGCAAAATGGAGCAAATAGAATAGTTCCAAAAGTGAAAACCATGTCAATTTGGCACTCCAGGCAGTCTAAAGCAAATGCTCAAAGCATGTGAATGATTTCAAATAGTATCTGAACCCGGGTCTGATCCATGTGCACAATCATCCTGTAAACATTTAACCTCTGCTTTGAGCCCTGCCAATGGGGATGGTGCTAACAGACACGCCCAGCCTAGCAGAGCAATGGTTGGTTCAGACTGGTTCCATATGGCTTTGTTTTACACTACTACTCATTAGACCCCATTAAATCACTGCCACGTGATTCCCTGTGTTTGTGGCACACGGTTACTCCTTTCTCTCTTCTCTCCTCTCCCTCTTGCTTGCTCATGGCCCCTCACTTTACCAGCAGTGACGGCAGGCTTTGCCAGCCAGCTAATCAACACTTAGCTCTGTGATGGTGTGAAAAGCCACAGCGGTGGTGTCTCCAATTTACAGAGAAATGGTTCCATCGCCACCGCGAGCAGCACATGACACGGCTCCTGTACGACAAAATGTGTCTTCCCTTGTTCCCAGCTTGGGCATGGAGCCAGATTACGTCTTTGTTGTGATTGCCAGTCGTTGGCTTGTTGGCTGTGCTCTGGCTAAGGGAAGCATTGCCACAACTTTGAACCAAAATACACTGGGAAAATAAGTGCTTCTGATGAGGTGCTCAGTGCGTCAGCAGTTATTTATTGACTTGGGTGGCTGAGTGGTTTATGTTTGCAGTGGACACGGAGGTAAACTTGATTCCCCTCCAAATTGGTGAAGTCCATCTACCAATTATGGTGATGGTTATAATGAGGAGGAAGATTAGCTTGCTAGTGGCTGATGATTGTGCTAAGGATAATGAGGATGCTGTCTGTGATGTTGTCCATGATGATGATGTTTTGATAATGCAATGATGATGTTGACCACAACAACGATGATGATGATGATGATGATGATGGAAATGGCATTAATTTGTGATTCTCTCTCTCTCTGTCTTTGGCAGCCCCAGGATGGCTACCGTTTGGTGCAGCATTTCCAGTTCATCGGCTGGCCGGCCTATCGGGACACGCCCCTGTCCAAGCGCTCCATCCTGCAGCTGGTGAGACGTCTGGCTAAGTGGCAGGAGCAGTACGACGGGGGAGATGGACGCACCGTGGTCCACTGCCTGTGAGTAGCTGAGGGCTCAAAGGAAGTTCAGTCTTTGTATTACGGTGTCGATATCAGATTCACACGTCGATGGAAGTTGTATACTCATACGGTTGTCCATATCAGAACAGTCACAGATCCATGGAAGTTGAATGACGAAACAGTATTCATATTAGGACAGTCACACTTCCAGGGAAGTTGTATTTCCATACGGTGTCCATATCAGAACACAGTTATTTACTCATACAGTGTCCATACTTGGATAGTCACTTGTCCATGGAAATTGTATACAAGGACATTTAAACCAGACAGGATGTGGAGGGGTAGAATTTCAGAAAGTGCAGAAACGAGAAAATAACTAATGCTGGAATTCATTCAATTTCTGCTGCTAAATGAGTGAAGTTAGTCGTAGAAAAGATTCCCTGTATATTCTGTCTGGCCCTACTCAGATTCAACACTATACTCTCAGACAGGAAGAAAATAGGGAATGTGCTTTACGAATGTATTGATCACTGCTCGCTTCCCCAGTGCTGTTTCCTTCTAGAGCAGTGGTACTCAACTACTATTTGAGAAGGTCCGGTCACACATATTTCCTAGATGGCAAAGGTCCGGATGGATATTGTCAGTTATCGGCATAGTAACAAACCTCGACCCATGCAACCCCAAACTGTTCAAACTGTTCACACCACTCTTGTTGGCGGAGAGAAAATGTTGCCATTTTTAAGCTAATTTCCTGCAATGCTACACATTTTGCCATGGGGCGGAGAGAAAATGGATAAGTTTTAAAGCTAATTTCCTGCAATTCTACACATTTTACCATGTCTTGTGTATTATGATACCTGCGTGACTCAACTAAATCAATGGGCTCCCCCTGGGGGTCAAAGCCCCTGGGAACATTATCTGGCCATGATAACTACAATATTTAGAAAGCTGGTTAGCCTAATTTACCCATTTAGCTAACTTGGCCAGTAGTTGATCAACTGGACATTTATCACAGGTTAAGAATAGCTCTCTAAGGTCTGTCAGTGAATTACATAACGAGGAAAACTGCCCATGCACTACCAAATTTCGAAATTGGACCTTGTGCGTTCTACTATTACATCTCTCAGCAGTAGTTCAAAGCCCGACTGACTCCCACAGACAAAATGGCTGTTCTAGAGGATGGAAAGTCATTTATATGACTTTTCTATGACTCTCAACCACACTGTTTCTGTTGTGGTGAAAAATTGCATTTAAAAGTCACATGGAAAAAATAGATATTGACAACATCAAAAAAGACAACCATGAGGTCCATGGTCTGTGGCACGTGAGAGAGATGAGATGTACCTGAACTGATGAAGTGGTAAGAGTCAGTGACAAAAAGAGGCTTGTGAGCATCATCACTCCAAGTTCGATGCCAGTTTGTGCTCCTCGCCATGACATACAGTGCATTCAGAAAGTATTCAGACCCCTTCACTTTTTCCACATTTTGTCACCTTACAGTCTTATTCTGTATTCTATATATATATATTGTTTTTTTATCATCAGCAATCTACACACAATACCCCATAATGACAAAGCGAAAACAGGTTTTTAGACATTTTGGCAAATGTATAAAAAAATAAAAACAGAAATACCTTATTTACATAAGTATTCAGACCCTTTGCAATGAGACTCGAAATTGAGCTCAGGTGCATCCTGTTTCCATTGATCATCCTTGAAATGTTGGAAAGGCACAGACCTGTCTACAGTGAGGGAAAAAAGTATTTGATCCCCTGCTGATTTTGTATGTTTGCCCACTGACAAAGAAATGATCAGTCTATAATTGTAATGGTAGGTTTATTTGAACAGTGAGAGACAGAATAACAAAAAAAATCCTGAAAAATGCATTAAAAAAATGTTATAAATTGATTTGCATTTTAATGAGGGAAACTAGTATTTGACCCCCTCTCAATCAGAAAGATTTCTGGTTCCCAGGTGTCTTTTATACAGGTAACGAGCTGAGATTAGGAGCACACTCTTAAAGGCAGTGCTCCTAATCTCATCTTGTTACCTGTATAAAAGACACCTGTCCACAGAAGCAATCAATCAATCAGGTTCCAAACTCTCCACCATGGCCAAGACCAAAGAGCTCTCCAAGGATGTCAGGAACAAGATTATAGACCTACACAAGGCTGGAATGGGCTACAAGACCATCGCCAAGCAGCTTGGTGAGAAGGTGACAACAGTTGGTGCGATTATTCGCAAATGGAAGAAACACAAAATAACTGTCAATCTCCCTCGGCCTGGGGCTCCATGCAAGATCTCACCTCGTGGAGTTGCAATGATCATGAGAACGGTGAGGAATCAGCCCAGAACTACACGGGAGGATCTTGTCAATGATCTCAAGGCAGCTGGGACCATAGTCACCAAGAAAACACTACGCCGTGAAGGACTGAAATCCTTCAGCACCCGCAAGGTCCCCCTGCTGAAGAAAGCACATATACAGGGCCATCTGAAGTTTGCCAATAAACATCTAAATGATTCAGAGGAGAACTAGGTGAAAGTGTTGTGGTCAGATGAGACCAAAATCGAGCTCTTTGGCATCAACTCAACTCGCCGTGTTTGGAGGAGGAGGAATGCTGCCTATGACCCCAAGAACACCATCCCCACCATCAAACATGGAGGTCGAAACATTATGCTTTGGGGGTGTTTTCTGCTAAGGGGACAGGAAAACTTCACCGCATCAAAGGGACGATGGACGGGGCCATGTACCATAACATCATGGGTGAGAACCTCCTTCCCTCAGCCAGGGCATTGAAAATGTGTTGTGGATGGGTATTCCAGCACGACAATGACCCAAAACACACGGCCAAGGCAACAAAGGAGTGGCTCAAGAAGAAGCACATTAAGGTCCTGGAGTGGCCTAGCCAGTCTCCAGACCTTAATCCCATAGAATATCTGTGGAGGGAGCTGAAGGTTCGAGTTGCCAAATGTCAGCCTCAAAACCTTAATGACTTGGAGAAGATCTGCAAAGAGGAGTGGAACAAAATCCCTCCTGAGATGTGTGCAAACCTGGTGGCCAACTACAAGAAACGTCTGACCTCTGTGATTGCCAACAAGGGTTTTGCCACCAAGTACTAAGTCATGTTTTGCAGAGGGGTCAAATACTTATTTCCCTCATTACAATGCAAATCAATTTATAACATTTTTGACATGCGTTTTTCTGGATTTTTGTTGTTGTTATTCTGTCTCTCACTGTTCAAATAAACCTACCATTAAAATTATAGACTGATCATGTCTTTGTCAGTGGGCAAACATACAAAATCAGCAGGGGATCAACAACTTTTTTCCCTCACTGTATATAAGGTCCCACAGTTGACAGCACATGTCGGAGCAAAAAACAAGCCTTGAGGTTGAAGGAATTGTCCATAGAGCTCAGAAACAGGATTGTGCAGAGGCACAGATCTGGGGAAGGGTACCAAAACATTTCTGCAGCATTGAAGGTCCCCAAGAACACAGTGGCCACCATCATTCTTAAATGGAAGATGTTTGGAACCACCAAGACTCTTCCTAGAGCTGGCCGCCCTGCCAAACTGAGCAATCGGGGGAGAAGGGCCTTGGTCAGGGAGGTGACCAAGAAGCTGATGGTCACTCTGACAGAGCTCTAGAGTTCCTCTGTGGAGATGGGAGAATCTTCCAGAATGACAACCATCTCGGCAGCACTCCACCATTCAAGCCCCCTTGGAGTTTGCCAAAAGGCACCTAAAGACTCTCAGACCATGAGAAACAATATTCTCTGGTCTGATGGAACCAAGATTGAACTCTTTGGCCTGAATACCAAGCGTTACGTCTGGAGGAAACCTGGCACCATTCCTACGGTGAAGCATGGTGGTGGCAGCATCATGCTATGGGGATGTGTTTCAGCGGCCGGGACTGGGAGACTAGTCAGGATCGAGGGAAAGATGAATGGAGCAAAGTACAGAGAGATTCTTGATGAAAACCTGCTCCAGAGCGCTCAGGACCTCAGACTGGGACAAAGTTCACCTTCCAACAGGACAATGACCTTAAGCACACAGCCAAGACAACGCAAGAGTGGCTTCGGGTCATGTCTCTGAATGTCCTTGAGTGGCCCAGCCAGAGCCCGGATTTAAACATCTGAACATCTCAAATCAAATCAAATCAAATGTTATTGGTGACCTACACTTATTTAGCAGATGTTATTGCGGGTGTAGCGAAATGCTTGTGTTTCTAGCTCCAACAGTGCAGTAGTATCGAACAATTCACAACAATACACAGAATACACACAAATCTAAAAGTAAAAGAATGGAATTAAGAAATATATACATATTAGAGAAATAGACTAAAATACAGTAGAATAGAATACAGTATATACAGTTGAAGTTGGAAGTTTACATACACTTACATACACTCATTAAAACTTGTTTTTCAACCACTCCACAAATTTCTTGTTAACAAACTATAGTTTTGGCAAGTCAGTTAGGGCATCTACTTTGTGCATGACACAAGTAATTGTTTACAGACAGATTGTTTCACTTATAATTCACTGTATCACAATTCCAGTGGGACAGAAGTTTACATACACTAAGTTGACGGTGCCTTTAAACAGCTTGGAAAATTCCAGAAAATGATGTCATGGCTTTAGAAGCTTCTGATAGGCTAATTGACATCATTTGAGTCAATTGGAGGTGTACATGTGGATGTATTTCAAGGCCTACCTTCAAACTCAGTGCCTCTATGCTTGACATCATGGGAAAATGAAAAGAAATCAGCCAAGACCTCAGAAAATAAATTGTAGACCTCCACAAGTCTGGTTCATCCAAATTTCCAAACGCCTGCAGGTACCACGTTCATCTGTACAAACAACAGTACGCAAGTATAAACACCATGGGACCACGCAGACGTCATACCACTCAGGAAGGAGACGCGTTCTGTCTCCTAGAGATGAACGTACTTTGGTGTAAATAGTGCAAATCAATCCCAGAACAACAGCAAAGGACCTTGTGAAGATGCTGGAGGAAACAGCTACAAAAGTATCTATATCCACAGTAAAACGAGTCCTATATTGACATAACCTGAAAGGCCGCTCAGTAAGGAAGAAGCCACTGCTCCAAAACTGCCATAAAATAGCCAGACTACGGTTTGCAACTGCACATGGGGACAAAGATCGTACTTTTTGGAGAAATGTCCTCTGGTGTGATGAAACAATAATATAACTGTTTGCCCATAATGACCATCATTATGTTTGGAAGAAAAGGGGGGCTGCTTGCAAGCCGAAGAACACCATCCCAACCGTGAAGCACGGGGTGGCAGCATCATGCTGTGGGGGTGCTTTGCTGCAGGAGGGACTGGTGCACTTCACAAAATAGATGGCATCATGAGGAAGGAAAATTATGTGGATATTATGAAGCAACATCTCAAGAAATCAGTCAGGAAGTCAAAGCTTGGTCGCAAATGGGTCTTCCAAATGGACAATGACCCCAAGCATACTTCCAAAGTTGTGCCAAAATGGCTTAAGGACAACAAAGTCAAGGTATTGGAGTGGCCATCACAAAGCCCTGACATGAATTCTATAGAAAATTTGTGGGCAGAACTGAAAAAGCGTGTGTGAGCCAGGAGGCCTACAAGCCTGACTCAGTTACTCCAGCTCTGTCAGGAGGAATGGTCCAAAATTCACCCAACTTATTGTGGGAAGCTTGCGGAAGGCTACCCGAAATGTTTGACCCAAGTTAAACTATTTAAAGGCAATGCTTCCAAATACTTATTGAGTGTATGTAAACTTCTGACCCACTGGGAATGTGATGAAAGAAATAAAAGCTGAAATAAATCATTCTCTCTACTATTATTCTGACATTTCACATTCTTAAAATAAAGTGGTGATCCTAACTGACTTAAGACAGGACATTTTTACTAGGATTAAATGTCAGGAATTGTGAAAAATGAGTTTAAATGTATTTGGCTAAGGTGTATGTAAACTTCTGACTTCAACTGTAGCTGCTTCGAAAAATAAATGCCATGATTGCAATGAGTCACTTCAAGACTCTTCAATACTATGAATCAGAGATTGTGCTGAGTTTGATTTTGGTTGAGTGGCAACCATACCTCATCTTTTCCCAATGCCCCCCATCCTCTCTCTCATGTTTTATGCTTCACCAAATGGTTAGAGAATTGTTAGAGACTATGTTCATAATTCATTGCCAGACTGTTTGAATGGTAAGGCATGCAGAATATCGTATGCAGGGGATTCAAGAGCTTGAGGCTGTCCTAATATGGACACCGTAGTACACACATGGGCTTAAGCTCAGTCTATGTATATAAATGTGGATTGGCTTGGAGAGGGGCTACGGTAGTTTTGTTGCTGGGTCAGATTCTTGGTTTTTCCTCCATGTTTTAATGAATTCCCCCAGGTACAATTTCTTACTTAAATACAGTATCAGGTCCTTCTATACTGTACATGGTACACCTCTCACATTAATTAAATAGATTCAACAAAGTAATATGTCATATAGATTGGTTCAGAGATTTTGTAAAGGGGCCGTTACAAGAGAGTTTTTTTTTACCATACATCAAAACTTTGTGCATCCCAATGGGCAATTCTGATTGACTCTTTATCCACTCTCTTTTACCTTCGCTCCCTCTTCCATACTCTCTCCCGCTTTCTTTACCTCTCTCTTTACAATTACTTCCTCCTAAAGGTTTCCGCATGTTTCGGTTTGGCTGGCACCTAGTGTTCGCATACCTTTGACCTTCGCTTGAAAATACATTCGCTTGAAAAACGAGAAGAAAGCAGCAATAGTACTGTTTGTCCATCTTGAGACACAGTATTCAGTTTACACTTCATCAAACAGTTAGAATTAATGAAAGATAACTCAAGAAATCTGTCATTAATTTTGACGTTTTTGCTAAAGAGATCTCAGTCACGCAATTATACATCTAACTATGATGTTTGGTGCAGTATTTCTCAACGGAAAACGTGTCCCACGTTCTCTATTGAAAACTGAAAACAGAAAACGTGTCAGCTATCGTTTAATGAAAACAAATACATAATTGAAGAATCTCTACTGTTGACCAATCACCGCGAAGGGGCGTAGACTTCAGCTTCCGAAATTCGGCTTACATCTAGAAAATAAATGGTGTGCACGAACAGCCGGAAAATCCTTGCTGAAGGCCAAAACGAACAAAAACGTCACATAATGTCATCATAATATATGCACAAATTGTTTCGAATGGGAAGCATGCGGACGCCTGCACTCACTCTCTGTCCCTTTCTCATCCCCCTCTCTGTACCTCTCTGTCCTAATTATTCACTCTCTCTGTCCCTTACCCTCCCCCTCCATCGCTCTCTCTTTACATCTCTCTCCCTCTTCATTTACCTCTCCCTTCCTTGCTCTCTCTGTCTCATTCTCTTTCTACCTTTCTGTCCCTCTTCCTCTCTCTCTCTACCCCATTTAGCCACTTTTCCTTTCTTCACCTATCTTTTAACCTCTCTCTCCCTCTCTCCAACAGGATGGGTGGTGGACGGAGCGGTACCTTCTGTGCCATCTGCAGCATCAGTGAGATGATCCAGCAGCAGAACATTGTAGATGTGTTCCACACCGTCAAGACCCTGAGGAACAACAAATCCAATATGGTGGAGACTATGGTACGTTCCACTGACCACAACAGGTGATGTTGTACCTACAAGCAACGTAGGACACACACCCAGGACACACAGTTCTGGCCGTATTGGACAGGTTTGAGACCATACACAGACGGGTAGACACAGAGACACACACACGCATGTACGCACTCATATTCTCAGGCTGATGACTTATATTGCCGGTGTTGTTTAGCAGATGTCTCTACACCTTCACATATAGCCTCAGAAACCAGATGCTCAATTTGACAGAACCATCTCAGGATGGGCACAGCTGTTCACTTAGAATTAAAGCAGATTTTGGGGCAAAAGACAACTACTGTAATAAAAAAGTTATTGGTGACTTTGAAGATACTGTCATAATACTGCTTGGAAATTTTATGAAATTTAGATGAAAGATGATTTGATTATCTTTGTTGTTTATCTACTGTTATACCACAGCATTGTTTAATACGCATTTTGGATTGGCTAGAAGGGCATTATAGAATGGACATTAAAACCAGATAACGGGACAGTTGGAAAAGATATCGGGACACCTTGCAATCATGACGCAATATGCCCCTATACATGCAGACCGTACTTGCTACAAAGTTACAGAAAGCTAAACCAACAACTACACAAACTGACATTGGATACATTGTAAACGCAGGTCTTACGAGGAAAAATTTTAGCTAGCTAGCTAGCATTTGCAGAGACATATATTTTTTGAGCATTTGATGACCTAACGTGGTGAGTGATGAACATGAATTTCTCCTATCCCCTCCGCCGCTACAGCTGTCAAATCCTCCCACATGTTTCTAGTTTGATCTGAGTTCATCTTCATGTGTTAGCGAAGTAAGCTTGTCTGTTTGTCTAAAGCCAGTAATGGAGGTATCACACTGTGAGGGGTCGCCGTTTTAAAAATACATTAAACTGCTAATCTGACCTACTGGGGTCATTAAAGTAAACATTTAGCACTTATTGAAACTCATGTTCACATGTTTCAGCAACTGATTTTTTTTTACCTCTACGCGATCGGTGTCCCGTATACGGGACGGTTGAGCTAACGTGCGCTAATGTGATTAGCATGACTGTTGTAAGTAAGTAACAGCAAACTTTCCAGGACATAGACATGTCTTATATGGGCAGAAAGCTAAAATTATTGTTAATCTAACTGCACTGTCCAATTTACAGTAGCTATTGCAGTGAAAAAAATACCATGCTATTGTTTGTGGAGAGTGCACAACAACAAAACACTTAGCACGGCAACTGGTTTGATACATTCACCTGTGAAGGTAAATAATGTACTTATATTCAGTAATCTTGCTCTGATTTGTCATCCTGAGGGTCCCAGAGATAAAATGTAGCATAGTTTTGTTTAATAAAATCAATTTTATATTCAAATGTAGGAACTGGGTTCTACAGTTTGAACCCCTGCTGTCTCTGTTTCCACACCCATCCCGCCCAGCCATCTAGATGTGTGAAAGTTAGTGTATAAGCTAATGATCCATCATGTATGACATTCCTGGGAGTGCGTAAACTTACATTTTGTATTACCATATCATTTTTGTATGTTCTCTATAGTTATGTACTTGACAATGTATCAATTGACCAATTTGGCACATTTGGGCAGACTTTATACAAAATAGTCCAGTATAGTAATGCTTCACTGGATCAATCTGAAACGTTACACACACACACTGCTGCCATCTAGTGGCCAACATCTAAATTGCGCCGAAACTGCAATATTATATTGTGGCCTTTCTCTTGCATTTCAAAGATGATTTTTTTTTGTTCGTATTATCTTTTACCAGATATAATGTGTTATATTCTCCTACATTAATTTCACATTTCTGCAAACTGCAAAGTGTTTCCTTTCAAATAGTATCAAGAATATGCATATCCTTGCTTCAGGTCCTGAGCTACAGGCAGTTAGATTTGGGTATGTCATTTTAGGCGGAAATTGGAAAAAAGGGTCTGATCCTTAAGAGGTTAATTCGGTTGTCATATTAGCAGGTTTGCAAGCAACAAATTATTATTTTTCTAGCCTAGTGTTTGATATGCAATGAGATTTCCTCGTAATTAACAGTCAGTGTTGACAAGTGTCCTGATGAGAAGGCAAACTTTTCTAGCTATGCCAGGCAAAATTAGGCATTATCAGCTCATTGGTATGGATGTATCCAAATGAATGTCAATAGAAAACAGCTACAAACAGTGATTGTGTTAGCCTTAGCTAGCTGGCTAGCTAGCAAGCAAGGGATAAGAACGTTGCCGGAACATAAAGAACGAAAGACTGGGTCACCTCCATAAATATCAAACTAATTGAACGAATGACTGAGTCACGTCTCGAGCAACCAAAAAATTAGAAAGAATGAATTTCCTTATATATATTAAAGTACTAGAATAATATACAGTACCAGTCAAAAGTTTGGACACACCTACTCATTCAAGTGTTTTTATTTATTTGTACTATTATCTACATTGTAGAATAATAATAGTGAAGACATCAAAACTATGAAATAACACATATTGAATCATGTAGTAACCAAAAAAGTTTTAAACAAATCAAAATGTATTTTATATTTGAGATTCTTCAAATAACCCCCCCCCCCCCCCCCCCCTTTTATCTTGATGACAGCTTTGCACATTCTCTCAACCAGCTTCACCTGGAATGCTTTTACAACAGTCTTGAAGGAGTTCCCACATGTGCTGAGCACTTGTTGGCTGTTTTTCTGTCACTCTGCCGTCCGACTCATCCCAAACCATCTCAATTGGGATGTGGTCGGGGGACTGTGGAGGCCAGGTCATCTGTTGCAGCACTCCATCACTCTCCTTCTTTGTAAAATAGCCATTACACAGCCTGGAGGTGTGTTGGGTCATTGTCCTGTTGAAAACAAATTATAGTCCCACTAAGCCCAAACCAGATGGGATGGCGTATCGCTGCTCAATGCTGTGGTAGCCATGCTGGTTAAGTGTGCCTTGAATTCTAAATAAATCACAGACAGTGTCACCATAAAATCACCCCCGCACTATAACACCTCCTCATCCATGCTTTATGGTGGGAACTACACATGCAGAGATTTTTCTTAGTCAACCTTGTGTTCTTGTACGTAGCCCTGTTTCTTTGTGTTCTTGAACGTAGCCCTGTCTTTCATTTTTGTTCATTGATTTCACCTGTGTTAGTTACTCACCTGGTCTCATTAGTTCCTTATTTTGTTCAGTTCATTCTGTTTGTTTTGACTCTACGAAGCCATTTTCTAGCTCGTTTGTGAGAACCAGTTATAGCCTTCAGTCCTAGTTTTTGATTCTCCGGCCTGTTTGCCTGCCTGTGACCACGATTCCTGCCTTTTGCGAAGGCAAAATAAATACCTGCCACGCTCTGTGTGTGAATCTACACCTTTTACTCCCTGAGTATTGATTACAGAGATCATCCATTCACCCACACCGCGTCTCACAAAGACACGGCAGTTGGAACCAAAAATCTCCAAATTGGACTCCAGACCAAAGGACACATTTCCACAGGTCTAATGTCCATTGCTCGTGTTTCTTGGCCCAAGCAGGTCTCTTCTTCTTATTGGTGTCCTTTAGTAGTGCTTTCTTTGCAGCAATTAGACCATGAAGGCCTGATTCACACAGTCCCCTCTGAACAGTTGATGTTGAGATGTGTCTGTGACTTGAACTTATTTGGGCTGCAATTTCTCAGGCTGGTAAACTTATCCTCTAGAGCAGAGGTGAATCTGGGACTTCCATTCCTGTGGTGGTCCTCATGAGAGCCCGTTTCATCATAGCGCTTGATGGTTTTTGCTACTGCACCTGAAGAAACTTTCAAAGTTCTTGAAATTTACAGTTGAAGTCGGAACTTTACATACACTTAGGTTGGAGTCATTAAAACTCATTTTTCAATTTCTTGTTAACAAACTATAGTTTTGGCAAGTCGGTTAGGACATCTACTTTGTTTATTTCACTTATAGTTCAATGTATCACAATTCCAGTGGGTCAGAAGTTTACATATACTAAGATGACTGTGCCTATAAACAGCTTGGAAAATTCCAGAAAATGATGTTATGGCTTTAGAAGCTTCTGAAAGGCAAATTGACATAATTTGAGTCAATTGGAGGTGTACCTGCCTCGTTGTTGACATCATGGGAAAATGAAAAGAAATCAGCAAAGCCCTCCGAAAAAAAAAATGTAGACCTCCACAACTCTGGTTCATCCTTGGGAGCAATTTCCAAATGCCTGAAGGTACCACGTTCATCTGTACAAACAATAGTATGCAAGTATTAACACCATGGGACCACGCAGCCGTCATACCGCTCAGGAAGGAGACGCGTTCTGTCTTCTAGACCTTGTGAAGATGCTGGAGGAAACAGGTACAAAATTATCTATATCCACAGCCGGCCGCGAACGGGAGACCCATGGGGCGGCGCACAATTGGCCCAGCGTCGTCCAGGGTAGGGGAGGGAATGGCCGGCAGGGATGTAGCTCAATTGGTAGAGCATGGCGTTTGCAATGCCAGGGTTGTGGGTTCGATTCCCATGGGGGGCCAGTATGAAAAAATAATAATGTATGCACTCACTAACTGTAAGTCGCTCTGGATAAGAGCGTCTGCTAAATGACTAAAAAATATATATATAAAATAAATTTTAAAAAAATAAAAAATGTGGATATATTGAAGCAACATCTCAAGACATCAGTCAGGAAGTTAAAGCTTGGTCGCAAATGGGTTTTCTAAATGGACAATGACCCCAAACCTACTTCCAAAGTTGTGGCAAAATGGCTTAAGGACAACAAAGTCAAGGTATTGGAGTGGCCATCACAAAGCCCTGACCTCAATCCTATAGAACATTTGTGGGCCGAACTGAAAAGCGTGTGCGAGCAAGGAGGCCTACAAACCTGAGTCAGTTACACCAGCTCTGTCAGGAGGAATGGGCCAAAATTCACCCAACTTATTGTGGGAAGCTTGTGAAGGCTACCCGAAACGTTTGACCCAAGTTAAACAATTTAAAGGCAATGCTTCCAAATACTAATTGAGTGTATGTAAACTTCTGTCCCACTGGGAATGTGATGAAATAAATAAAAGCTGAAATAAATCATTCTCTCTACTATTATTCTGACATTTCACATTCTTAAAATAAAGTGGTAAATGTATTAGGCGAAGGTGTATGTAAACTTCCGACTTCAACTATATTGACTGACCTTCATGTCTTAAAGTAATGATGGACTGTCATTTCTGTTTCCTTATTTGACCTGTTCTTGCCATAATATGGACTTGGTATTTTACCAAATAGCCCTATCTTCTGTATACCCCACTACCTCGTCACAACACAACTGATTGGCTCAAACACATTAAGAAGGAAAGAAATTCCACCAATTAACTATTAAGAATTCACACCTGTTAATTGAAATGTATTCCAGGTGACTACCTCATGAAGCTGGTTGAGAGGATGCCAAGTGTGTGTAAAGCTGTCATCAATGCAAAGGGTGGCTATTTGAAGAATCTCAAATATAACATATGTTTTGATTTGTTTAACACTTTTTTGGTTACTACATGATTCCATATGTTTTATTTCATAGTTTTGATGTCTTCACTATTATTCTACAATGTAAAAAATAGTCAAATTAAAGAAAAACCCTTGAATGAGGAGGTGTGTCCAAACTTTTGACTGGTAGGGTATCCGGAAAGTATTCACACCTATTGATTTATTTCCACATTTTGTTACGTTACAGCCTTATTCTAAAATCGAATAAATTGTTTTTTCCTCATCAATCTGCACACACTACCCCAGAATGATGAACCGAAAACAGGTTTTTATAATTTTTTGCAAATTTATTTAAAGAAAAATAAACTGAAATATGACATTTACATAAGTATTCAGACCTTTTACTCAGTACTTTGTTGAAGCACCTTTGGAAGCGATTACAGCCTCAAGTCTTCTTGGGTATGACGCTATAAGCTTGGCATACCTGTATTTGGGGAGTTTCTCCCATTCTTCTTTGCAGATCCTCTCAAGCTCTGTCAGGTTGGATGGGGAGCATCGCTGCACAACTATTTTCGGTCACCTCGCTGACCAAGGCCCTTCTCCCCCGATTGCTCAGTTTGGCAGCTCTAGGAAGAGTCTTGGTGGATCCAAACTTCTTCCATTTAAGAATGATGGAGGCCACTATGTTCTTGGGGACCTTCAATGCTGCAGAAATGTTCTGGTACCCTTCCCCAGATCTGTGCCTCGACACAATCCTGTCTCGGAGCTCTACGGACAATTCCTTCGACTTCATGGCTTGGTTTTTGCTCTGACATGCATTGTCAACTGTGGGACCTTATATAGACAGGTGTGTGCCTTTCCAAATCATGTACAATCAATTGAATTTACCACAGGTGGACTCCAATCAAGTTGTATAAACATCTCAAGGATGAACAATGGCAACAGGATGCACCTGAGCTCAATTTTGAATCTCATAGCAAAGGATCTGAATACTTATAAAAATATGGTATTTCTGTTATTTGTAATATATTTTGAAACATTTCTATAAACGTGTTTTCGTTTTGTGACGATGGGGTATTGTGTGTAGATTGATGAGTACCTTTTTTTATTTAATTAATTTTAGAATAAGGCTGTAACGTAACAAAATGTGGAAAAAGGGAAGGGGTCTGAATACTTTCCGAATGCACTGTATATATTTCTACCGGTAAATGTGTGCTTAGTATTGTTTACTTTGGCAACTGTGGTATAAGCGGGATGAACAGCTTAAACAAATGCAATGGAATAAATGTTGCTGTTATTCTGCCTGCAGACTGTGTAGCCATAGCTATTTGGCTAGCTAGCAGCAAGCAAGGGATAAGAACATTGCCACTGAGCATGGCAACGGAACATAAACAACTAACGACTGGTTTGCGTCCATAAATATCAAACTAATATCTGCTTGTGTTTCCTTTTTATTATTTTTTTGTTTTATGCCAGGCACCTGTGAGTTAAAATGACTGACTAATGCTCTGTCTTTATTTCTCTTTTCTAGGAACAGTACAAGTTCTGCTATGAAGTTGCTCTGGAAGCCCTTAGCTCATTCTGAGAGAGCAACCTGCCTCTCGCATCAGCGGGACACAGTTCTTGACACTGCGGAGACACCAACCCATATAAGGCAGCGGATGTGTGCGACCACACACGTGAAAATCTATACTGTTGAAAAGAAAAGCCCTCCACACTGGGGTTATGTGTGCGCTTCTGCAAGACTGGGACCCCTTTCACTTATATAAAGAAAAAATGGAATGAAAATCTTAACACCACTTTCCTTCTCTTTCTTTCAATGTCCATCTTGGACTGTGATGTGATCTTGTACAGTCATTTTCTTTATAGATCTATGCCTTGAATGTTATTCTCTCAGTGTAAAAATACAAACCAAGAAAATAAACTGACATCATGGCATCAGCTGATGGGTATTTAAAAAAAACACACACAAAAAAACAACAAAATCAGACCAACGAACAGAACCGATACCACCATTCAGACGAAGACAAATGCAAGTTGCGAAGATTTGAACTCTACCTGGCTTTGCACCTCTTTTTAATGAACATGAATAATGACTGTGTTATATATTTCCCCCCTGTTTTAACAAACACAAAATTGCAAATATTTTTTGTAATTCTTTGGATGTTGTGGTTCCTGCAACATCTTTACATCCACATGACGTTTTCTGTCAAAGTCTTGGTTTCTTTTTGGTATTGTGGCATGTTCTCATCCTGGTGTCCCATGGCTCTTGTGCTGTGCAGACAATCATGAATCATTCTGGGCCCGGTTTTCAAAAACATCTTAAGGCTAAGATGTGTTTGGGAAACCAGGCCCTGGTTTGCTGCAATGAAAATGAGAGAAGAGTCAGTCAACACTTTAGCATTCTATGCTTGGCTCTACACCGTATTCATCAAAACTGATTTTACATTCATGTGTTTTCTCATTTGCACTGTATTTTGCACTTCTTTACCTTCAAACCCATTTTAAAATTGTGTCGTGTAGGGGAGACAGGGGGCAATTGTAACAGGGAGCAATTGTAACACATTGCATTTCTCCAAACAGAAACAAGCTAGAGCGATGAAACGCACACAGTACATTTAGGTTCTCTCCCTGCTTGAAAAGTTCTGCCAAATATCTCACTATTTTCACATTTTATGGGCAAATGTTTGTTTTTTAGGGGTGAAAGTAGTTTTTTCCACCGGCTGTATTTTTCTTACTGCCCTTAGCGTTAGAGTCCAATAATTCAAACTAGCATAACTTTCACCACTCTATGTTGCCTAAACATTGACATGAATGACATGTCACTATGGTTGTCTCTTACTAGGCACATGAGGTTTTGTCATGGCTGCTGGGTTGTGGGCAATTTCCAATTGCAACTCAGTGTTAAAATGACCCTGAGCCAAGCAGCCAAATTATGAAAACAAGTGATTTTAACTTTAAGATTGTATGAATTATACAAATAAATGTAAATCCTGTATAGTGCCAAAGAAATTGTAAACAGATATAATCTGGGCCCCATCAGACTATTCAGATATTTTGAGAGGAACCAAATGGCCATGCACAAACACGGGTGTTACTGTAATTATTGGTTACGTACATAAAAATACTCATATTTATAGAAAAATCATTACATTCGTCTATGATAATATGATAATTCATAAACATTCTTGTTTTTTAAGTTAAGTGAATTCATTTGGTTTATTTTTTAGGTATTACATTTGACCCCAGCTACTGTTACAATTGCCCCTGGCACAGGGCAAATGTAACGTCCAGACCTTTCGGATTAAAATCAATATTGTGAATTGACAGTCCTATGTACAGACATATAAATGGTATGAATGATTAGGACACAGATGTAAGTTTCTTATATATATAAAAAAAATGCTTGGCCTAGTTCGAATGGTCTCTGAGCAACAGAGTAAAAATTTAGTAAAATACAAACATTTTTACAATTGTCCCCAGTCTCCCCTAACTTGGTCCATAGTGCCATATTAGCATCTGTAAACACATACAATGTTAACCAAATTGTGAAGAAACATATCAAGCTAGGGATAGAGTGGGATAACATTCTATTAATGTGCACCTCAAGCTTGTCAAAACACTGTAGCATCCCCCACGCTACTGTTGCTCAATCTCAGGATTTGGATAAGAAGACTGCTTTGTTTTTCATCCCTGTCCATTCTGCTCTCATACTCTACTTTATAGGAGCAGTTTGGCTTAGTGTGAGGCTGTCCTAATATGGACACCGTAACCGTGTCCTACCTTTACTCTCCTCTCATGCTCTGTTTGGAGAACTTTGGATTGTCTTCATACTCACTAGACATGGAGACAGAATCCATCTGAGATGGTGAACCCAACTCTTGACTGAGGGTGGGATTTAATTTGAGCGCTCTAGTAAACAATGCTGCTTTTGAAGGCAATATTACCACACTTGCAGAAATGGCATTCAAGGCAAACGCTGCAGATGTCGGCACAATTGGAAAGGCATGCTATAGAGCGGTTTTGGATTGAATCCCGGCCTGGGATTTTTGCACGCTAGCAGTGTTTTGACTGGGTTTTCTGTCCATTGAACAGTTTTAGTACAGTATTGTACAGGGTTTATCAGTAGAATGTTTCGCTCACATGGACAGTGACTTACAGTATTAGGTGTAAAAGAAGTCTTGTGTCAACGCACAGCATAGTTGTACTATTAACATGCGGTCGTTTGGTGACTGGAAACACAAAGAGAAACAGTGTTGGAATTCTAATGAAGAGGTCAATGTCAATGCAGGTTGTTTTCCTTTTTTTCAACAGGCTTTATTTGGCTTTTCATATCTCCACTGTCTGTATTATATTTGTTTTCCTCCTTTTTTTCTCTTGAATTTGTTGACATTTGTTTTCGTCTTGCAAAGTGATATTTAGATCTGGTAATGAAATTTCCATGGTTGTTTTGTTGTTTGAAAATGTGGTTACATCAAATAAAGGGACCAAAATGTTGAACAAATTATTTTAATATTCTTCTTTCAAGACATTTTATCAACCAATTTACAACCATTGATATTATCTACAGTAAATGTTAAGCCTACATTACAGTAGGAATGTGAAGTTGAAAGATCAATCTCAGCGATGATCAAACAAAATACTGATAAATCAAGATCCGAACCTCCTCCAATTTTAACCATTTATTCGCAGACACCACATGCAAATGTATGAGACATTTGCATATGCATCAAGGACAGAGATGCACCTTGGCATTATCCTTATCAATCACAGCTAACTAAGTCCTAAGAGAGCTTCTCTACTTGTCATGTTAGCTCCCCTCATATACTTGTGTGGACAGAGGGTTACACATTAAGACACACCCGGACACATGCAAATTAACGAATGAATTCTAGTCCCATTCATTTAACATTATAAACGTTGCGTACACACAAAATATGCGTGTGCCAGTTTTCACACAAAAGTTGGCATTTATAAAATATGAATTTGACGTGAGAATGTGCTTATCCTCCCGCAAACTTTAGACCATGCATGCGCACAGTTTCTAGTGGTTGAAGTCTTGCATTGCAAGAAGGGAAAAGTAGCCTAGAAGTAGCCTTTTGCAAATGGGGAATATATGATGACACTCTTATTCATAACAAAAGAACAGGTAGGCCTAGCTAAATATCAAGATATAACAAGATGCAATCATTTGCCTTTAGTGAGAAGAGCAAAAATCGATTGATCTTGCATTCTATAATAATTAGAAATAGGCATATATTTCCCTATTATATATTTTATTTCCATGATCATTAAAGAATAAATTACTCACCTTTTCTGACTGTGATGGTTTCATAGGCTACTCACAAAATAGCCTATAGGCCTAAAACAATTAGGATAGGCTACCATTCATCCCATATCTCATTTAATTGGACTCCACAAGGATGCTGGCCCATGTTGACCCGAATTTTTCCCACAGTTGTGTCAAGTTGGCTGGATGTCCTTTGGTGGGTTGACCACTCTTGATACACACGAGAAATTGTGAACGTGAAAATCCCAGCAGCGTTGCAGTTCTTGACACAAACCAATGTGCCTGGCACGTACTACCATACCCTGTTCAAAGGCACTTAAATATTTTGTTTTGCCAATTCACCCTCTGAATGGCACACATACGTAATCCATGTCTCAATTGTCTCAACACTTAAAAATCTAAAATTTAACCTGTCTCCTCCCCTTCATCAAATCAAAATCAAATCAAATTGTATGTCACATACACGTGTTTAGCAAATGTTATTGCGGGTGTAGTGAAATGCTTGTGCTTCTAGCTCCGACAGTGCAGTAATATCTAACAAGTAATGTCTAACAATTTCACAACATATACCCAATACACACAAATCTAATAAGGAATGGAATTTAAGAATATACATATATATGGACAAGCAATGACAGAGTGGCATGGACTAAGATACAGTAGAATATTATAGAATATAATACAGTATATACATATGAGATGAGTAATGCAAAACATTATTAAAGTGACTAGTGTTCCATTTCCTAAAGTGGCCAGTGATTTCAATAGGCAGCAGCAGCCTCTAATGTGCTAGTGATGGCTATTTACCAGTCTGATGGCCTTGAGATAGAAGCTGTTTTTCATTCTCTCGGTCCCAGCTTTGATGCACCTGTACTGACCTCGCCTTCTGGATGATAGCGGGGTGAACAGGCAGTGGCTCAGGTGGTTGATGTCCTTGATTATCTTTTTGGCCTTCCTGTGACATCGGGTGCTGTAGGTGTCTTGGAGGGCGGGTAGTTTGCCCCCGGTAATGCGTTCGGCAGACTGCACCACCCTCTGGAGAGCCCTGCGGTTGCGTGCGGTGCAGTTGCCGTACCAGGCAGTGATACAGCCCGACAGGATGCTCTCAATTGTGCATCTGTAAACGTTTGTGAGGGTTTTAGGTGCCAAGCCACATTTCTTGAGCCTCCTGAGGCTCTGTTGCACCTTCTTCTCCACACTGTCTGAGTGGGTGGACCATTTCAGTTTGTCAGTGATGTGTACGCCAAGGAACTTGAAGCTTTCCACCTTCTCCACTGCGGTCCTGTCAATGT